ACTTTCCTTACAGGATATAATAGATACATTGTGTATGCATAGAATATTTCATGTTGTGACCATTTGGCAGGGACTTGGCAACAGACTGATCAATTGATGTAATTGAGAATTGCACATTAGGGTTTTTTGTGCATGAGTTGTTTTGATTAGAGTTGTGTTGGAAATCCAGCACTGAGATTATTCTGTAAAATTAAGGTGATTTGGGTGCTTATTAAGCAATTGGTTTGTGGGTGCTGTAGTGTTACTGGATTACAGGTCTTTATTTTTTGATTGCTCTGAAGTTGACTAGTTTCCTTTACTTTTCCTGATCGGATGTGGTAAGATTGCCACTAATCAATAATTTGGTAGAATAAAAAAAAAACGTAATTAATAAATAAATAAATTATAATAATAATAAAAAAATAAAAAATAAAAAGCTTAAAGTATTTTTTGGTTTACAAATTAATTAGTTTAAAATAAATATTAATAAAATAAAGGAATAATTCACAATAAAGGAATATAAAAGAGTTGTTACAATGGGGAAAAAGGACATCAAAACTATGAAAGTAATTACTCCTGTTGATGTAGTACAAAATAGTAATCCTCTAGTTAATGGTATTGCAAGGTTATCTGGAAAATGGAATAAACGTTGGCCTGACATTGAACAACCATGGCCAGTGGAAGGGACTCTTAACCCAGACGTAATCAAGATAATGAAAGTGCTTGTGTCGATAATGAAAGTGCTTGTGTCGATGTATAAGGCAGATCAAAAGAAGGTGGAAAAAGGGGAACAACGTAAAGAAAAGAGACAAAGAGAGCTGGGGGTTCTTAAGTTGTTTGAAAATGAGGGACAAAAACTGATAAAAGATACAAAAGATAAAAGAGACAGAGGTATAGAGAAAATGGCAGAGGCGAAGATAACAGAAAAACGAATGGCAGAAGTCAATACACCTTTCTCACATAAGGATTCAACAAAAAGACCCCCACCTTACGAGGAAGAAGTAGAGTTTAAGGACGTCTATCCTCAGCTTCCAGTGATCATTCAGGAGGGTGAGTATTGCATCAGAGATGAAGATGAACGAATAATAGAGAGAGGACAAGCAGAAACGACCATAAAGATGAATCCAAACTCCAAAAGTAAGAAGAAAACGACATGTCTGGAAACTAAGGGTAAAGTGAGGTTCAGGAGGATGGAATTTGATGATGATGATGATCAGAGTGATTCAGAAGAGATCATGGGTGGATATGACCCTGTGATCAGACAGAGGTTGGCCAGAGCGGAAAGAAGGGGTGATGGAAGTTGGAAGAAGAAAGATACAAGAGATTTGAGTTCTGATGAAAGTGAAGATGGAGACAGCGATGAAGATTTGGAGATTAAAGGTGCTTCATGTTCAAGAGGATTTTATCCTACAATGACTAGCACAGAAGAAATAGGAAGAGATATAGATCGATGCAAATCCCCCCCCCCCCCCCCCTTTTTTGATTATAAAGGTTTATTATATCAAAGGTTCCAGCATCAATTTACAGATTTCTGCAGAATCTGGAGAATAACTAACCCAATCTCAAATCTGATTATTCTCCCCGTCCTTTGTTCCAACCATGGTATTTCTCCTATGTAACATAATATGGGTGGTATTTGATAGACCAATCCCTGACCTCCACATCTCCAAATGTCCTCTATTCCAAGGGGCCCCTGTAGTAATGCTTTCCAGATGTTTCAGCAAAGCAGAGTAAAGTTCCTCTAACACACCATTTGCAAACGTCAGCCAAAATTATAAACTGTTCAGATACTACAGGGGTATGATGGGTAATCCCGCGAGGTTTTGAAATGCATAAGGTAGCTTAGTGGTTAAGAGCGTTGTGGCAGTAACCGAAAGGTCGCTGGTTCTAATCCCCGAGCCGACTAGGTGAAAAATCTGTCAATGTGCCCTTGAGCAAGGCACTTAACCCTAATTGCTCCTGTAAGTCGCTCTGGATAAGAGCGTCTGCTAAATGACAAAAAATAAATAGGGTTTACTGTCTCATCTCTCTCTTTTTCTATTCGGGATACTGATCTGCTCCTATGAGTCTGCCCCTTAACTTGCCATTGTGTATTTGTGGACATTCGGAATTTAGCGGCGTGGGCTGTGGCCTGAACAATAGCCCAGTTTAGGAATAAACCCGTGTTCTGCCCTGCACACCTGGTGTCCGTCTCTTTTTCCTTTATGACCCAGCCCGGGTCATTACAGTATCTTATTAATCATTTTAGGCAATGTTGGAATGATTTAATTGTTTTGCTTACTTTGTGTGTTATAATTAGCTCATGTGCTTTTCTTCACAAGGAGGGGATACTATATAATGTTGTTTGGTCTGTAACCATGTTTGCCAGTGAGTCTTTTCCCATTAAAATATTTGTTTTCAACAAAAAGTTCATGAATAGACCCACGTAATTCCAGTTGATATTGCGACCGTTGGTTTGTTTGTTGGTATATTTTATATAAAAGTGGATCTTCATGTTTTGTATTTTCCTTCCTTTTTAGACAACATTGGCCTAATAAAATACTTCAAATTGTAAGCTATGTAAGTCTTTCTCTCTGTGTGGTAACTTGAAAGAGTAAAGTTAAGGCCTCAACAACTCGCTGAATTTATCAGAACTAACATCTGAATTTCTGCCGGTGTCCATTTTGAAAGAGCTGAATGAATAGGCCTACCTCGTTCGCTTGCACATACTTTGAGCTAAGTGTTAATGATATGAATAAACATTGAATTTACATTTACATTTTAGTCATTTAGCAGACGCTCTTATCCAGAGCGACTTACAGTTAGTGAGTGCATACATTATATTTTTTCATACGGGCCCCCCGTGGGAATCGAACCCACAACCCTGGCGTTGCAAACGCCATGCTCTACCAACTGAGCTACATTCCTGCCGGCCATTCCCCCCCCTACCCTGGACGACGCTGGGCCAATTGTGCACCGACCCAATATTTGTGTATGGTTCAAAACTCATTTTGCCATTTGTTATTATTGAACGAGAATGCGGTTCTTATCGACTTACACAAATCCACAAGCAAGTCAGCCATAGCAGCAGTTTTTTTTTTTTAAAGGCAGTAGATGAGGCTGAATTAACGGTTTCACTGCCAGACAAGGCTCTGCCGATAGCCAGGTGAAGCGGTGGTAAGGATTCACTCCATGGTGCTGAAAAGAAAGCTCTGCTGTTGGGACAGCTTTATGTAGGCCCTAACAGTTTGTGGGCACCTTTCGTCACCATTATATTGCAATTAATGTATTGTTTATTGGCTTTGCTGGCATGCATTTTTTTTTTAAATGTGGTTTGAGTTTGCCCCACCCAGATTTACATGCTAAAATCGCCACTGATCATTACATAGGTGCACCTTGTGCTGGGGACAATAAAAGGCCACTCTAAAATGTCACAATACAATGCCACAGATGTCTCAAGATGAAGGAGTGTGCAATTTGCATGCAGGAATGTCCACCAGACCTGTTGCCAGAGATTTTAACGTTAATTTCTCTACCATAAACCACCCCCAATGTCATTTTAGATAATTTGGCAGTAAATCAAACCAGCGTCACGCCAGCCCAGGAACTCCACATCCGGCTTCTTCACCTGCGGGATCATCTGGAGGGGTGCTGAGGATTATTTGTCTGTAATAAAGCCCTTTTGTGGGGAAAAACTCATTCTGATTGGCTGGGCCTAACTCCCCAGTGGGTGGGTCTGTGCATTCCCAGGCCCACCCATGGCTGCACCCCTGCCCAGTCATGTGAAATCCATAGATTAGGGCCCAATGAATTTATTTCAATTGACTGATTTCCTCCTATGAACTGTAACTCAGTAAAATCTTTGAAATTGTTGCATTTAGATTTGTTTAGTATAGCAGATTCTGTTGAGACATCCACTGCTTAAAGACTTTTGCATGTCATTAACACAAACCTAAACAGATTATTTTCATACAATAACAGTCACCACTGTTTTGATGACAAATGGACTCAGATAAACCAAGTAGTTTAATCAATGAGTATACAAATCCTGACAGATTTAAGCAACACTGGCCATGTGTCCAATACACATTGACACTATTTATGAAATGTTTCTTCAGAGACAACTGTATTCCAATTGCCATAAAGACATGATTTCAGCCCATGGCAATTTTATCATCTGAACAGAAATGATATTTTCCAGTTTCACTTTATTTTTTAAAAAGATAAATAAAAAAAATGTGTGATGCATAAACCAGCAAGGACAAAAAAAAGCATAACATGAATCAATCCAGTCTGACCAATCTCCACCCTGCATAGCCCACACGTGTGATAACCAATCAGGTCGACATCTGCCCCTTCTGGCTGGCGGTCTGGCCAAACCAGCACACATTTGTTTCAGATTTAAGTGCTGCACTTTGCGCTAGAGGGCAAACCAGACAGATAATCCAGCAAACAAGGGGCCCTGGGATCAGCTAAACCAATGCTACTGAATCCAGGCGGTGACGACAACAGGGTAGAGGGATCTCCTTTAGTCCAACACTGGGAAGAGTGGACGCTTTGATGTGGTCCCAATAAACCATCCATCACCAGGTCTAGCCCTAAGGTACACTGGGCTAAACTCCTCCAATCAAAACCTCTAAAAACACATTTGCTTTTCTTAGTAGGGGGCTCTTATGAATTCTGATTGCTAGAACAGGGAACAGGTTCAGCAAAGACCGATCTGAATGGGGAAATGATAACTGATCCATGGTTAGACTACATCACCCCCACCTGCTGGATGAGAACAAACTGCTTACGGTCAGTCTCGTGCAAGGGGAGGTCATCAGTACAGAGATATCCATCCAAATCAGACATGATGATCCATGGGACCATTCAGCTCGTCTTGAGGCAAGCTCCACGTAATGGTAGTCAGATTTCATCACAGCTGCAACTGCTTTTTATAGCCTGGAGAGGATTTCCTCCAATTACTCTCATTCGGAATTTGTAAATACACCAATGGCTGACTTGCATCCCCCCCCCAGTAATTGGCTGGGGGGGGGGGGGGGGGGGGGGGGAGACAGAAACCCGTCACAGGAGGCGCCTCTTATGAAAACGGGAAGGGGGGGGGGGGGGGGGGTTCTGACATGTCAACAAGATCCGTGAATGTACAACAGAGGCCAAAGTGACTGAACAATAACACTATGTACAGGCAGGTGAGGGGGTCAGTGTGCGCGCACGCGTTGAGTTTAAGCACAGGCTAAGATAATGAGCTGAACGTAAAGACATAAGCACATGTAAAAACAAACACTATTTCAGTGACTATTGCACAATGAGTCGCCATGCCTTTCCATTGTTCCTTTGGTTGTTTTAAACCTCAGAACATCTGATCAAACGTTACAAGAAAGCAAGACAGAATATTTCAAACATTGCTTAGGAGTACCAGTCAAGTTCTGGAGGATGATAATTAAGTGATCATACAGACACACTGACCCCTGATCTTCCTTCAGCACTCCCCCTTTCACAAACACACAATGGGGTATGGGAGAAGGGGGCACCTAACGCATTCTGTACTCTGAGGTCTTGGACACCTCACAGAGCTGACCCTTGAAGTCTATGTCAACGGTGAAGTCCAGGTCTCTCTGAAAGCAAAACAGACACAGAAACAGATTAAAAGAGTGGACATTGGATAAACACAGCTTTAAAAACCACAGAACACCATGGGACAGAACAGATGGCAGTAATCATTTCTAGTTCAAAAAAGGAGGGGTAAACAACCAGACTTACAAGACACTCAAACCAACAGAAGGTAAAAAAGGGTGGGCTTGGACACTTAAAAAGGTATCCCAATAAACTTATCAGACTGGGAGGTTTTTCCCTCTTTCTTACGTTGTTTTTGACATTGGGCTTCATGTTGATGTTCCCAAAAATCTCCTCTCCAGTCTTCACAGTCAGATAGTCGTCCAGGTAGAATACCGTCTGCTTCCAGTGGGTGTAGGGGGACTCTGGACCTGGGGAGAGGAGAAACGGGGCAGGTTTAATATGACTTCTCGTAACAGATTTTTTTAAAAATCCCTTAAATTCTAGATAGAAAATGTATTCTCTCAATTATTGAAGATTACTTGTGCTGTCATTTACCATAGACTTAATTTATAAGGATTCAGTGAACATATTTATTTGAACATATCTATTATTGTAGTGCAGAAGGTTTACGGGTGGAGCATAAAGACTTACTGGTGGAGAAGCCTGTCCTCTTGTGACAGCGCGTGAACTCGATGTTGAAGTAGGTGACGAGGGCGTGGATGTAGTCATTCCTCTTCACCTGCAGGCAGAAGGGCGAGGTGAAGGACAGGTCGTCGATCTTCACCGTGTAGATGTCCACCTCCTGGGGACAATGTAGAGGGGGGGTGGACAACGTGAGACAGATGACAAGAAATGCAAAATCCTCTGTTTGAACTGGAGATGTGGTGCCAACAAGAAAAGGTCACATTCCAAGTGGGGGTCACGGAACTGTGTGCATTGGGGGTGGCTGCGGAGTGTGATTGACTCACTTTGATGAGGCAGGCGCTGCTGACCAGCTGTTTGGGGTCCACCACGTCCACCAGGGGCTCCTTGATGGCCACCTCCTTGATGCAGGACATATCAAAGCCGTACACGTTCTCCCACCCTGTTACAGAGAAGATATAGGGGGTTACCACCACAAATAGGTAGACGCCAAGTTTAAAAAGTAACTATTAAATTGTTGGCATTAGTCTTTCATTTTCCTTCAAAGAACGTAGTTCGCTTTGCTAGGTCTAGAAGTGCACACTTCAAAGTCCAGACTAGTTAGCTAGAGCAGAGTTGATATGGCTAACTATTAGAGGTGGCAGGTAGCTTAGCGGTTAGAGGCAAGCCAGCAACTGGAGGGTTGCCAGTTCGATTCCCGGAGGGTCGCTGGTATCAAATCCTAGATGCCATTGCACTCTTGAGCAAGGCACTTAACTCCCCGGGCACCTAGTGTGGCATTCCCCCGCACCTCTCCAAAACCTATGCATGTATTTTTCGGAGCGGTTAGGTTAAAAGCGATTTTAACGACATTTTAGTTGGACCTTGTGTGCAATTGACCAATAAAGTGATCTTAATACAAGCACAGTACAATATGCTTTTGGCTCCTTTGACCGACTCAACCGTGAGAGTTAGCTGAATCTGATCACAGAATCCAACCTGACACAAAAGTCCCCTGACTAACTCCTCTCCAACCAAAAACATGGGTACAACGCTGGCCAAATTACATCAACTACATTACCCCAAAATTTAGAGGAATTCTCACAGTGGATTTTATAGTCCTTGTACTGCCTGTCCTCAATGGCTGTGACGTACAGGGTAGCCCTGTCTGGGAAAATCAGGCCCTCTGGTTTCTAGGAGACAGAAAGGGAGAGGGAAAAAGAGCATGGCGGGTTAATACACTTGGGAATGACATTAGCAGGCTATCCAAAGGCCTGACGTTTAGTAGCAGCTGTGTGGAATCATGGCACAATGACTGCTGGTGGTGTGTGCGCCAGTCTGCGCGGGGTGCTGCGCCTCCAAAGAGGGAAGCCAACTCCAGACAAAAAGTCTTACACTAATCCAATACACTTCACAGATACATAATTTGATCGGACTGAATATTGTTACGGCACACGCAGTTAACTATGTAAGGACAACAGGTGAGGCAAAAACATTTTCTTAGAGTTCACACCAGTGCTATAGCTGAAATGTTCCCAATAAGTCACTCCAGCCTGGCACTGGCAAGACCCACTGGAATGAGGTTTATTTTATGGTCAATTCCACAGCAAGTCAGGAACTGAACCTCCTAAAAGCCTTGGTATATGGCCAAACAGAGTTTAACACCTGACACTTGTCCCCGAAGATTTCAGTATAGGGAAAGACAGCAATTAAGACATTCAAACAAGCATTTAAGTCTATTCCATAATGTACTAATTAAATATACAGGCAGGAACATACCAGCCACTTGTCCCTGGCGTAGATGACAGTGTTCAGCATGGACTCGTAGAAGAGGCAGTAGCCCATCCACTCTGAGATGATGATGTCCACTCCCTCTACAGGGAGGTCCACCTCCTCCACCTTCCCCTTGATGATGGTCACAACTGAATGGGGAGAAAAGAGGGATGAGTTACAACTAAATAGCCACAACATTCCTTCAAGCCAGGTTGAACCATTGTGAAGGATAGGGGTGACTGAAAACTGAAGTGGCAGGGGGAAAGGACTGACTTACTGTGGTCCATTTTGTTGGCCTTGACAATCTTCACAGCGTAGTCAGAGATACTGCTGCACTCAATCTGAAAACACAAATGCGGGGGTTAGAGAGCAGGCCTTTGGGGGTCTCAAGTAATGACAACTAACCAGAACCATGGTATCCTTTTGAGCTCCCATCAAGGCAACTGAAGTCTACTGGGAACTCATGGCCATTCTATGTGTTCTGTTCATTATGATAAAGCAAGTAAAACAGGTCTTGATGCAAAACATTCACATCTGTGCCAGATTAGGAACATGTATGCCTTACACAATATGGTATGACAATGGGGACATATCACACATAGCATAGAAAATGGTGATGCTGCATCACAAGTTCTAAAAGTACTACAGACTATTGACAGTGCATGGCAGTAAATGAGGTGTGCATGTATGAGTCTCTTCCCCGTTTGCAAACAAGGTGGGGGTACTTACTCCTATGACTTTCTTGGCCCCAGCTTTAGCTGCGAACATGCAGAGGATGCCAGTCCCACTGCCCACATCCAACACTACCTTGTCCTTGAACAGGTGCTTGTTGTGGAACATGGAGTTCCGGTAGGTCAGGGTGCGCACCTCATCTTTCAGCATCTCCTACAGAGCAGGACCCAAGAGAAAGATTAGTTTCAAGGCAACACTGACCGAGGTGAGTCACTCCAAATGGGATGTATACATGCTTGACCATTTGACAATGTACCACTCATCTCGACAGCCTATATTACTAGCCCCATTGTATTTTGGCACAGATGTGCTGACCAAAATTCTGTTTATATCAGTGTGGCATGGGTCTTTAAACATTTTGGTTGTAGCATCAATTTTTTCACCAAATAAACATTTTAATGAAGATACCTACCTCGTGGATACCGAAGTGGGCATATGAGTCAAAGTAATAGTCCTTAGAAGTCATGTCTTCTGCTGCAGGCTTGGCCGAGCTCTCCCCCTGAGAAATCTCACCAAAAGAGATACCAGTCACAACCAGCCCCAGACTGGCAACAATGACCATTTGACATCTATGATAGTCCTCTATCCAAACCAGTTGCAGCCAGGCAGAACGTGCTGATTAAAAAAAAGTTTCTTGAATAGATGTGACATTTGTGTGAAGATATAATCTTAATGACTTTAAGTTGCTCAAAACGTATAAACGTTTATGTTCATAGGACAATACTGCCAACGACTTATTTACATTTGCGAGTACGGGTGTGTGGTATTAAATTAACGTAGTTGTAGCTAAGCCCCAAGTTCAGTGCATGAAGCATTATTTTCTCCGAGTACAAAGGGTGAGAGCGAAAGCACATGGTGATTTAGGCCTTCACTGACTGACTTGGGACAGAAAACAAACGTAGAAACCAGTAGTTACTCGAATGGCGCGCTCTACATAACGTTACTAGCGAGCTTCCCTAATTAAAATGAGAACTTTATTAAAGGAATTGGCTGGCCACAAATACCTAAATTATGTAGCTAAGAAAGTGGTGAATAGCTCCTGCCGGGCTGCCGACTAGGTAACGTTAGCAATACATATTATAGTTAACACCAATGGCTAACAAATATTAAATGTATTTAGTTATTGAAACGCATTTGATGGATTCAAACGGACCTTGGGCTATTTAAATCAAATGCCGGAAAAGTGTGCCAGATGTGCCTTGTGAAATACTAGTTAGCATTGTTAACCTACCACCCATGCGGTCTCTCCCCGAAGCGCGAGCTAACGATGGCTTTCATAAAGATTATATCACACAACATATACTTGTCATTACTAATCAATTTCCCAAATCCATTCATAATTCACTAACTAGAATTACATGACAACCGCATATACACAGTAAGAGTTTGCTGTGCTCATTCAACAAATGAATGAGCCTTGCAGTGTACGTTAGATTGTGCCTGGCTAAAATGGATGCTTTGCTAGTGAAGTGCGTGTACTCTCTGAACTAGCCAACTAGCAGGCTCCGCGGCCTACAATGACATTAGAAATATAGTTACTTTAGCTATGTGAAAATACTTACATTTTAAGCTACAGAAAGAAATTATATGTGGTTTAAAATGTCTTAAACCACGACTCGATCACACCACTGCGCTTACCTCCATTCCGTCCGCAGTCTCCGCCATTTCAATTCCGTGTGGGCATTGACGCAGACGCACAGTGGTATTAAAATGCACAAATTTGAGCCCCCACCCTTTGACGCAAAAAACGGTTCGTGATTGGATACGTGTTGCAGGCACCTCCCAAACGAAAGCCCCCAGTTTTGCATAAAGAGTCCTCATTGGTTCACACTTACACCTAAAGTCCAGCTATGATTGTGGTTGGCTAAAACTGTTGCACTTCTGACTGAAGAAAGGTTATTGGATTAAGATCTTTGCGCTATCTATCAAACAAACAACATTTAAGTAGTGCTCATCTATATCTAAGTAAATGACCAATTGTCATTGTAATATTAACTGCTGGGATAAAGCCGACAGCGTTGGTATATCCCACAAGCTCTTGCTGTTTTTGATTTCCAATTGTGTTTTTCTACATAGTACAAAATATTTATTACAATTTGCAGGCTATATCTTAAACATTTGGGCCCATGTCAGTCCTGTTTATCACTGTTTCCTGTCCTGCAGAAGGAAAAGCTCAATAAAAAGGTTGTAGCATGACAGTCCTGCAATTAGAGAACATGCAATTGCAGATGTTCTTATGCACCTTTATTTGAACAGGGAAGCGTTGCAGTGGAGCCAACAAGCTAGGGACACTGAAGCAAATATGGTATCAATGGTGTCAAGGGCTTTTAAGTCCAGCAATGCTCTGGAAAACTGGCCCTAAAAGAGTCAGAACAGAACTTCAGTTGGAGGTCTCATCTGAAAGATGGAAATATTGACCACCACCTTTCCCAGAGGACGATACCACTCACAAAAATAGATAATTAACCTGACCATGATGCATCATCAAATCAATGTCTTTCACTTTACAATTGGTCATAAAGAGGTAAAAAAAAAATAAAGGTTTCATTGGTATGCTCAATATTAGGCTTTACTTTCAATTTGGTTAAGCGCTTCATTTGTTTAGTATTTGCAGAAAGTGCAGAGCAGACATCATTGATGAGGCTTGGCAGTAGTACTAGCTAGTAACATTGAGCTTACTGCTATGACTAGAGAAAAGGTGAAAGGCAAAGGATGGCCACATTTGTATGGAGGGAGGTGGGGGGTGGGGGGGGGGGGGGTGGGGGGGGGGGGGGGGGGGGCAAGAAACCAATTTACTTGAGTTCAAAAGCCAGACTCCTTTTATTAAACAATTGTATTATCTCTCTCAAATCTTTGTAATAAAAATAATATACCATGTAATAAATGCACTTCAACTGATTTAAATACGGCATATTTTGTGCCACCCAGCGTCCAACTTTAAGACGAGCAAATAGTCAACATTTCACCAATCAGTTATTGAATTTTGAGCTGAGGCCGAGATGTGTGTGTCGTGAACAACATTCATGTGAGAAACAATAGTGAAATCTGCGGTTCGCCATCAAAATAAAAGTCCCCCATTGGAACTGATTAAAACGGATAAAAATAGTGTAATCATGGCACAATTGGACTAGATAATGAAAAAAAAAAAAGGTTAAATGTTGTTATATAAATAATATAAATAATTGCAATTCAGAATTGCATTGGGGGCATACTTATATACAATGTACAGCCTAACCTATGTATTGTGCACCTATGAAATGGGGTATCAGCCTACTCAGTGACACTTACAGAACACAACTGTGAAGAGTTTACACAAATATTAGCGTCTTAGCTCTTATTGCAGGACTCTGAAACCACTAAAATTAGCAACATTAAGCTCACCAGTCAACCTATGTCTGTTGAACATTCATATTGCACTATACAGCCTAACATATGGATTGCGCACCCATGAAATGGGGTATCAGTCTACTCGGTGACACCCACAGAACACAACTATGTAGAGTTTACACAAATATTTGTGTCTTAGATTACCGTTTAAAACAATTTTTCCCAGTCGGATCTCATTTTTTTCTGAGTTCCCAGTTGTCTTGATCGCTCGGAAGTCTGAGATTTCCGAGTTCCCAGTTGTTTTGAACACGGCTGGCAACTCGGAACTGGGAAATATCAGACTTCCGAGTGTTCAAGACAACTGGGGAACTCAGGGAAAAAATGATCTCCGATCATCATCCATCTCTGAATTCCAAATCGGGAACTCTGGCCTTTTTCTAGAGCTCCGACTTTCCGACCTGAAGATCACTGAGATCATGATTCGACCTTGTTTGTTTCCAATTTCCCAGTTGAACCATAAATCTCAGCGGAGGGAGAGAGACATGGTCCCTGCTCTCTCCTTCCTTTCCTCAGGTTAGACTGACCAGAGAGAGGGGACACCGTTTTTCACCTGATGGCGAAACTCGAGTCACTCTGGCTCTGCATCTGCCTCATGAATAAATTCATGTTGTTCCTACAACCAAAGAAAGTTAAATATTCTTCAATATTAAAATGGACATGACGAGCTGCTAATAATAATACAAATGCAGGGCTATCGATACACTTGGCTACTCATTCAATGCAGCTGCAGTGCGAGTGGAAGTAGGGAGATGTGCGTTTTATGTTTTGTAATAGTGTTGAATAAAAATAGTGCTGAATAAAAACTTAAACATGAACTCACTTATAAAAACAGCAGCTCTTGCTGTATTCTTTGACAGTCTCCCTCTGGTCATTGTTTTAAAAGTTATGAAATCTCATGTAGGCTAGTATCAAACTTTGCTGTGGCCGTGGGGTCGTGGAAGCTGTAGGCACTGTGATTAGCCACAGATCTCCCGGTCCTCCAGGCAGGCAGAGTTAGTCTTTTCAGACAAATTAAATGTTTAAATAATGGGAACACTTTGCCTACCCGGTGTGTAGGGCTTCTGAATCACGATTGACCGGTTGGTGACCATTGGGTTAGGCTGTACAGTGCAATATGAATGTCCAATACACACAATAGACTGACTGGAAAGGCGACTTCCCACATTCAAAGTCCTGCAATAAGAGCTAAGATGCTAATATTTGTATAAACTCTACACAGTTGTGTTCTGTGAGTGTCACTGAATAGGCTGATAGATTAGATTACATGAGTTTATTAGTCAGATGCAAAGGGTCGCAGTGCTAGGAAGTCTGGGGGGCAGGAGGGGGACATGGGGAGCAGGTAGCTGCCTAGGGGTGACTATTCAGCAGCCTGATGGTCTGGGGGTAGAAGCTATTGGCCAGTCTCACAGTTTTTGCCATGATGCTCCCATAATGCCCACGTCTGAGGGATGGAACAGGCCGTGGCTCGGGTGTCTGAGGTCCTTGATGATCTTCTTTGCCTTCCTGTGACACCTGGTGTTGTAGGTGTCTTGGAGGGCAGGCAATGTGCACCCAATGGTGCATTCGGCTGAGCATACCACACTCTGTACAGCCTTGCGGTCAGCAGCGGTGGAGTTGCCGCACCAGGCTGTGATGCAGCTCGACAATATGCTCTCGATGGTGCTCCTGTAGAACACCGTGAGGGCCCTTTGGGACAGGCCAAACTTCTTCAGCCTCCTGAGGTTGAAGAGTCGCTGTCGCGCCTTCTTAACCACGTGTCTGTCTGGTTTGACCATTTCAGCTCCTCTGAGATTTGTACATCGAGGAACTTGACGTTTTTGATCATCTCCAGGCGGCCTCATTGATGAGGATGGAGGCGTGCCCAGCCTGGTTCCTTCTGAAGACCACAATCAGCTCCTTTGTTTTGCTGACGTTGAGGGAGAGGTTGTTTGCCTGGCACCACGCCGTCAGAGCGCCTACCTCCTCTCTGTAGGCCACCTTGTCGCTGGTAGTATTCAGGCCTACTACTGTCGTGTCATCAGTGAACTTGATGATGGAGTTGGAACTGTGTGAGGCTACGCAGTCGTGGGTATACAGAGAGTACTGGAGGGGACTGAGGACGCACCCTTGTGGGGTCCCCGTGTTAAGGATCAGTGTGGTGGAGGTAATGTTGCCTACCTTCACCACATGGGGACAGCCCGTCAGGAAGTCCAGGACCCAGTTGCATTGGGAGGAGTTCAGTCCCAGGGCCGTGAGCTTTGTGGTGAGCTTAGAGGGCACTATGGTGATACCCCATTTCATGGGTGTACAATCCATATTTTAGGCTGCACAGTGCAAAATGAATTTTCAATATACAGGCTGACTGGTGAGCTTAATGTTGCTCATTTCAGTGGTTTCAGAGTCCCGCAATAAGAGCTAAGACGTTGTCTTTTGTTTAATTTATATAACAACATTCCAACCTTGTTTAGGATTATCTAGTCCAATTGTGGCATGATTTCACAATTTTTATCTGTTTGCGTCAGTTTCAATGGGGGACTTTTATTTTGAAGTCGAACCTCTGATTCCACTATTGTTGCTCACGCTAATGTTGCTCACAACACACTGGAGAGGACGAGACCAGGGAAATAGAAGTGCCGGAGTCTGCGCAAAACGAACGCGTCTAGTGGTCGCGCTGCTTGTGCTGTCACGAGCCTTGTCCAAGGCTACCGAGTAGCGAATTGACATAAATTATTGATGACATCGAATTGTCTTCGTTTAGCCATCGGATATACATTATTGGAATAAATACATTGTGGAGATACGATTGTATGCTGACTGATCACGGTCAACTGGTGATGTTTCCAAACATTTGATATAGCTAGCTAGCTGTTTAGCTAGCTTGCCGTGCGTGACTCACTGACAGAGTCAAATATCAGACCGAGTGGATATTTTTTGGCATTCTGCTTTTTCTCTGATATCTGGATATATCATATATTCATCGGGTAGATATAGTTAGTTACAACTGCGTGTACTTTCACCGTCATCTGGTCGTGGGCGAAGGGAAGGTTTGAATGAATTTGCTAGCCAGCGGAAACGTCGGCTAGTTAACGCGGATACACTTTAGTAACCATACCGCTAGCTTGCTGAATTGAACCACGGCACGGCCATCCAAACTAGCAAATGTGTTAGGAAGCTATTAAACGTACTATCTTTGGTAAAACGCCAAGGAACATAAACTGTTAAAAGTTGGTTAGCTGGCTAATTAGATAGGAAACAAGCTAACACACCCTGTACTGTAACACCTAAACGCGAGCTGACGTTTGATAGCTGGCCGTCGACGATTCATTTTTGACGGGAAAGGCCGGAGTGAGGACAGAAACCAGCAAAAATGCCGGCTGTGTCGAAGGGAGATGGGATGCGGGGATTAGCGGTGTTCATTTCGGACATACGTAATTGTGAGTGTCTTTTTCCATCATTGATTAGCTTTTCAACGTGCCATGTTATTATAAACATTTGCATGGAGGACGACATTTGATCAACATACATTTGTTTGCAAGTGTGCCCTGAAATGTAGTGGTGTAAAGTGAAACTGCTAGCTAGCTAGCTAGATCTCAGATGTTGAGGAGAGGGTTATAGCTATGGAGAGGTCATCGCGGGCACAGTTACTGCTGCACCGCATCCCTTTTCCATTTGCGCTGCCTACTGTGTTTGTGATGATACACGGTCGACCGTGTTTGTGATGATACACGGTCGACCGTGATTATGTGTTGTGTGACAGACTCGTAGCGTACTACTAGGCCGCTACCCATCAGATGTTGTCACTGCTGTTCACATCACCTGCACCAGAACAGAAGTAGGGTAGCTGACTGTTGATATCGCGACGGGCCACCAGGGTCAATTTTGCTCTGTTTTTTTGTGATAATACATTTATCAGGCAAATTAAGCAGGGCTGGATGGACAGTTACGTTGTATCGCTGTTCAGATATACAGTAGCTAAACCAGCCAGTTGAACGACTGGGTCGATTGGAATTGGTCGCCACTCGCAACATAGTAGGCGATCATGTGTTTGCGCCTACCTAGTTTAGTGACATTTGAATGTATTGTTAATAGTTGGAATAATATACATATATTGCTAATCCAGTTTTTCTAATTAGAGTCCTGGTCTATATTGCATTGTCTGTCATAGTGCACATATATACACACGAACCATACATTATACCCGAGTGGTCTAAGGAACTGCAGCTCAGCGCTTGAGGCGTCACTACAGACCCCCTGGTTCGATTCCAGGCTGTATCATAATAGTCCCATAGGGCGGCGCACAATTGGCCCAGCGTCGTCCGGGTTTTGCCGGTGTAGGCCGTCATTGTAAATAAGAATTGACTTGCCTCGTTAAATAAAGGTTTAAAAAAAAATACAGATTGTTGTTAGTCTATAAGAGTATCCAAATGCATGACACTGGCCATTTTTCATAACCACTGTCATTATAGAGCAGAATACTCTTTCTCACAAAATACACACACACAGCACACACACACACCTCGTGCACATAACCCTTACGAAAAAATATTGTAAGGGAAAATGCATGCGTTTAGAATACTAGACAGTGTCTCGATTTCAGCCTCCAACTGTTTCATGTAAAGCTGGCCCTTACAAAAAAAGTTCAGTAACAGCAGTCGACTCTGATATTTTGGACGCAGAATAACTGCAGTTACACTGCAAAATTATTGCAGTAAATAAAATGGTTATTTTGGATGCAGTATTTGCAGCATACTGCACTCTAACTGCAGTGTACTTCAGTTATACTGTGCTCTGACTGCAATCTTTTTTCGTAAGGGGGCACCGCATGGCATTTAGGGTACCATGCCCCTCTTTCAAACATAAACAACAGAATAACAAAAACAGGACTTGAAAAGGTTGCAAGACGGCTAGTGTTGTTGTGGGGTTAGCACAAGATTAATTTGGAATAGACTGCTGTCTGAGATCACAATATGACATATAGTAGTCTAGATCGAAAAGTTGGAAAACTCAAACAGCACACACCTTACCTTAGTCCAGCATATAAACTGCAATGGCAAGGACTGCCTCTATTTGAAATAGACACAGTCACACACTAATATCTTGACTTTCACCCTTATTCACACCTGCCCGTCCCTCCTCTGTCCCACCTCCACCTCTTGTCATCTTCCCATCCATCCCTCTGATGATTTGTATGGCTTTTTCTCTCTTCTCCCTCCTTGATCTCTCCTTCCTTACTGTTCCCCAATTTAGTCGCTGTTCCTGTTATTCTTTTAGTAAACTCTCACTCCCTTTGCTTATTTATCTATTCCTCATAACTACATAGGGTGAATGAGGGAGAATTAGGCTAGCTAAGCACTTTACACAGGCTAGGCCTTACCTCTTTCAAGTTTCCCCGTTAGGCTACTCTTTCACCCCTTCTCTCTTTCCCCCACATGGCCCTATTCCCACTACGAGATTTGAAGGAGAGTCTGAGGAGCGGAGTGGCGAAAGATTTCTACTTTTCAATTCACATTCCTTCCTTTCCTTACCTTTCGTTGTGGCTGGCAATGTGACATTCTTGGTCCGCAGCTCAAATTGACCGGTATTATCACAGTAAGCCAGTACCCAGTAAAGCACTAACTATTCAACAATGACAAACTTTTCTTCTAAAACATATTACACTATATGATTTGTCAAGATGCACAATTCGTCTGTGCTTCAGTTTGATCAACTGTAGCCTACTGATAACAACCACAGCTACATGTAGCCTAGAGAAGCCTATGTACTCTGATCCCATCTGGGCCTGGCCAGGGGAAATGTAACATGTTTTTATAGTCTAAGCTATGTATTTATAGCCTAAAATAGGCCCATTTTATTTGTGTTCTTAGAAAATGTGATTGTGAATAAATTTGTTTTATATTCAAACTTTGGGTGGCTAGGCTACCTAGGCCCTTTGAATAAAACATTATTGCCTGGAATTAATTAGACACAATAGTGATGACATACTGTATGAGTATCTTTTTAATTACAGATGCAAAGGCCTACATGATGCAACCCTGCATAAAGCTAGCTCGGCCCTGTTAGTTTTATTGTCCAATTGCAGTTGTTGTCTGTGTAAAGGGTTTTAATGTTTTCATCCTCCTAGGGCCAGGAGTTTGTCCAGTTTTAATTGTTTTATAAACCATATGACCTAATTAGAGCAAATCTGGTCCCATCATAGCTCATACAAAACCACTTTTTACAGCTGATTTATTACTATGACATACGCTACAACTAGTGTCCGGAGTTGGTTGGTTAGCCTACTACCGCATCAGTAAAAACTGGGCCCCAGGAAAACAAATTCCCCCCACCACTCTGGGACTAGTGGTACCACCTCTGAAATCATCACACAATGTTACAAATGAAAAAACATATCCTATTTGTATGATCTACATTTTTAAAAAAATGTCGGGATGGGCTTCAATAGTTTTATGTGGCTCAATGCAGCTGTCGGCTGCTGCGACAATTTCAAAATGTAACAGGCTGTTACTGCAATTTCAGGTAAAACTCAATAAAACATGTCTCATATTAGGAAAAGGTCTATACATTTCAGCTGTTTCAAAAATATTGCTCTGCTATTACCATTTATACTGTTTACACTGCCCTGCTTCAAGGGGGCAACTGTCGGGCGCTAGCGGGTGAGATGTAGCAAGTATCAAATCAAATTGTATTTGCCACATGCGCCGAATACAACAGGTGTAGACAGTACTGTGAAATGCTTACTTACAGCCCTTAACCAACAATGCATTTATTTTTAATAAAAAAAAGTAAAATAAAACAACAACAACAAAAAAGTGTTGAGAAACAAAGAGCAGAAGTAAAATAAAATAACAGTAGGGAGGCTATATACAGGGGGGTACCGGTGCAGAGTCAATGTGAGGGGGCACCGGCTAGTTGAGGTAATATGTACATGTGGGTAGAGTTAAAGTGACTATGCATAAATAATTAACAGAGCAGCAGCGTAAAAAGAAGGGGTGGGGTGGGGTTGGGGGTGGGGGGGCAGTGCAAGTACATTGAGTAAAATGTGTAGGCGATGGTGTTTTTACTCCAAGAGCCCTTCACCCCTCCCCCACCCCTCACTCTTGAAAACCGTCTCCTCTTGACCACACCCTTCACACAACTTTTCTCTTGTTATAACCATTCCTTAAATGTATGTCTCAGATTATGAAAGGTGTGATTTCCTCATAAGCTCATGGGTCATGCATCGAACATGCATGATTGTGTCCGCTTGCTTATGTTCTATGCAGCATATTATTATTTCCAGACATTTTATGCAAACTGAACAGATTATCTGAAATAAGTAAGTGTAAAGCTATTCTATTGAGGGCAGGTTTCAGACTCAGATTAGACCAATCCAGAGAGTAGGCTTTTTTTCCTTTCAGTTTTAGTCAAAGAATGTAAGCTTAACCTTTGATTATATATGCCTACTTCTTAAACTGCAGATTCTGTGACTTGGATCTGTTAGCCAAAATTTAGCCACAGATCAGGAGAATATTAAAATGAATCCATGAAACCATAGGGTAAATCCATTTGAATTCAATAATTTTTTAACAGCATCCCTTGTGATTTAAACAAAACTTTCCATACATGTTTGCTCAAAGTGACTTTTTGAACCTGAATGCCAAAACATTCAGCAGATAAAGGTACTCAAAGTTGACCCATTTTGCATACCCCACCATACCATGAGACATCCATGTCTTCAAACTTGAAAAGATAAACGGTTGAGTTTGATATAATCCCAATAATAAATAAAAACAAGTTAGCATTTTTAAACCTTTAACAACAATGATCTAAAAACGCGTAAACTCATAGGATTTTGTGTTGTGACCGCAACACAATAAAATTAGAATTCATAATATAATTTATAGATCAGACCACTGCAATTCAGCTGGTACACCATTTAAATTTAATTTACATTTTAACTTCTAATTATTACCCCAAACTGTCGGTCCACCCACCGTCGAATGTCAACTTAAATTGTCATATCTGGGGGCTCCCGAGTGGCGCAGCGGTCTAAGGCACTGCATCGCAGTGCTAGAGGCGTCACTACAGACCCTAGTTAGATCCCGGGCTGTATCACAACCGGCCATGATCGGGAGTCCCATAGGGCACCGCACAATTGGCCCAGCGTCGCACGGGTTAGGGAAGGGTTTGGCGGGGGGTGGGGGGGACCGGGCAACTGCAGGCTGACCTTGGTCATCAGGTGAACAGTGTTTCCGCCGACACATTGGTGCGTCTGGCTTCCGGGTTAAGCGGGCGGGTGTTAAGAAGCGCGGTTTGGCGGGTCATGTTTGGAGGACGCATGACTCGACCTTCGCATCCCGAGCTCGTTGGGGAGTTGCAGCGATGAGACAAGATCGAAATTGGGGAGAAAAAGGGGGTACAAATAAATTGTCATATCTATTCAATTACAGTGGGGGAAAAAAGTATTTAGTCAGCCACCAATTGTGCAAGTTCTCCCACTTAAAAAGATGAGAGAGGCATGTAATTTTCATCATAGGTACACGTCAACTATGACAGACAAAATGAGGAGAAAAAAAATCCAGAAAATCACATTTGTAGGATTTTTAATGAATTTATTTGCAAGTTATGGTAGAAAATAAGTATTTGGTCAATAACAAAAGTTTCTCAATACTTTGTTATATACCCTTTGTTGGCAATGACACGGGTCAAACGTTTTCTGTAAGTCTTCACAAGGTTTTCACACACTGTTGCTGGTATTTTGGCCCATTCCTCCATGCAGATCTCCTCTAGAGCAGTGATGTTTTGGGGCTGTTGCTGGGCAACACAGACTTTCAACTCCCTCCAAAGATTTTCTATGGGGTTGAGATCTGGAGACTGGCTAGGCCACTCCAGGACCTTGAAATGCTTCTTACGAAGCCACTCCTTCGTTGCCCGGGCGGTGTGTTTGGGATCATTGTCATGCTGAAAGACCCAGCCACGTTTCATCTTCAATGCCCTTGCTGATGGAAGGAGGTTTTCACTCAAAATCTCACGATACATGGCCCCATTCATTATTTCCTTTACACGGATCAGTCGTCCTGGTCCCTTTGCAGAAAAACAGCCCCAAAGCATGATGTTTCCACCCCCATGCTTCACAGTAGGTATGGTGTTCTTTGGATGCAACTCAGCATTCTTTGTCCTCCAAACACGACGAGTTGAGTTTTTACCAAAAAGTTATATTTTGGTTTCATCTGACCATATGACATTCTCCCAATCCTCTTCTGGATCATCCAAATGCACTCTAGCAAACTTCAGACGGGCCTGTACATGTACTGGCTTAAGCAGGGGGACACGTCTGGCACTGCAGGATTTGAGTCCCTGGCGGCGTAGTGTGTTACTGATGGTAGGCTTTGTTACTTTGGTCCCAGCTCTCTGCAGGTCATTCACTAGGTCCCCCCGTGTGGTTCTAGGATTTTTGCTCACCGTTCTTGTAATCATTTTGACCCCACGGGGTGAGATCTTGCGTGGAGCCCCAGATCGAGGGAGATTATCAGTGGTCTTGTATGTCTTCCATTTCCTAATAATTGCTCCCGCAGTTGATTTCTTCAAACCAAGCTGCTTACCTATTGCAGATTCAGTCTTCCCAGCCTGGTGCAGGTCTACAATTTTGTTTCTGGTGTCCTTTGACAGCTCTTTGGTCTTGGCCATAGTGGAGTTTGGAGTGTGACTGTTTGAGGTTGTGGACAGGTGTCTTTTATACTGATAACAAGTTCAAACAGGTGCCATTAATACAGGTAACGAGTGGAGGACAGAGGAGCCTATTAAAGAAGAAGTTACAGGTCTGTGAGAGCCAGAAATCTTGCTTGTTTGTAGGTGACCAAATACTTATTTTCCACCATAATTTGCAAATAAATTCATAAAAAATCCTACAATGTGATTTTCTGGATTTTTTTCTCTCAATTTGTCTGTCATAGTTGACGTGTACCTATGATGAAAATTACAGGCCTCTCTCATCTTTTTAAGTGGGAGAACTTGCACAATTGGTGGCTGACTAAATACTTTTTTTCCCCCACTGTATCTATATTTCTTTGATTTCAGTAGGTTTCCTATGGAGGATTGACAGTATAATTTAAAACAACATATATTCCAATTCAAGTCAACATTCTCTGTGTTGATCTCCAACCATATTTGTGGTACCAGTTAAAATGTAAATTTTATTCCCATTTTAGTACATTTATCAGCCAAAACATGACACTCACCCTGTATTCAAGAGCATGTTGTCTCAACCGATGGCGGGCACAACACAATAACCTTAGATTATAGGGCTGCACGATTAATCAAATTCAGATTTGCAAGAGTCTGCGATTTTCTATTTTCTTTGACACTCCGTTAATACAACAAAAACTAGACTACAGTACCTCCTCCAATGAGATCCGCTAGACTCCGTTCATTCACTCTCTACATGCACAGAGGATGCTGACCAATCACTAGCGGACTCTCTGCATGGCATACACATGCTAGCCAATCACAAGCGTCCCCGCTTAAAGCACATGCTGGTGAGGAGAGAAAGGGCTTTACCAAAGACAGTACAGTATGAGGTTTAGAAACTGTGGCTTTACATCAGTGTGTGTCGGAAACATGAGTGCCGCTAGTGCTAACAAGAACGTCGATTTGGTGCCAAAAAAGGGTGCATCTTCAGTGGTATGGCAGTATTTCGGCTACAGGCAAACCGATGTCAACCAAATGCAAGTGTTGTGCAAAAAGTGCCTCAGTGTAGTGGTGACATCAAGACGCGACAACAAGAGGCAACACAACAAATGTATTACATCATTTGAAGAATAACCATCCCCTACTTTACGACGATTGCATGGTATGAAAAAGCGCCCGACAGCAGCAAAGCCCTTCAGCCACAACCAGCCACCTACATTAAAGGGCAATTCCACCACTTTTCAACCTCATATTCATCACCTCCAGCACCAAACAAGTGTCTACATACTGTATGTGAAAACGTTTCTATGATCTGTTGTTAAAAATATAAGTAGAAAGGTCCTAAAAAAATGCTTCTGTGACATCACCGGGTAGAATTTTCAAAACTTGCAACGAGTTTCTAGACCAAGGGGGATATTTTCCTGCTCCCCAAGTCACTGCGGCTCTCATACTGTTTGAAATTCACTGTTTTGAAAATGTAACGTTATTTTTATTTTATATTTTTTACCCCCTTTTTCTCCTTAATTTCGTGGTATCCAATTGGTAGTAGTTACAGTCTTGTCTCATCGCTGCAACTCCCGTACGGACTCGGGAGAGGCGAAGGTCAGGAGCCGTGCGTCCTCCGAAACACAACCCAGCCGAGCCGCACTGCTTCTTGACACAATGCCCGCTTAACCCGGAAGCCAGCCGCACCAATGTGTCAGAGGAAACACTGCACACCTGGCGACCATGTCAGCGTGCACTGCACCCGGCCCGCCACGGGAGTCGCTAGTGCGTGATGGGACAAGAATACCCCTGCCGGCCAAACCCTCCCCTAACCTGGACGACGCTGGGCCAATTGTGTGCTGCCCCATGGGTCTCCTGGTCGCGGCCAGCTGCTACAGAGCCTGGACTCAAACCAGGATCTCTAGTGGCACAGCTAGCACTGCTTAGACCACTGCACCACTCGGGAGTACCTGTTTTATCTTTATATATATATTTTTCTACAAAACGTAGAAATGTGCCATTTTCACATATGTTGACACGGGTATTGTGCTGGAGATAATGAAATGAGTTTGAAAAGTGGTGGAGTTGCCCTTTTAAACAGGCATTGATTACTCATACGTTTTCAAGTATAATGCCCTACGAAAAACATCCTGCAGACACATGGAAATCACAGAGGCTATCACATAGCCAAAGACATGGTTCCTATTTACACAGTCAGCAAAGACTGCTTCAAGAAGATGATAAACAAGCTGGCCAGGAGATACAAGATTCCATCTCGCACATATTTCTCCCAAGTCGCCATCCCAACACTATAACAAATTAAGGGAGAAGGTGGAACATGTTGCGTTGAATGACTGGACCAGACTCCAATGTTTTGGACACAGGCTGCACCTTGCAATCGGTAGGCTACGTATTACATGATTTTAAGTATAATTTCAATTATAATAATGATTGCGGCTACTTATAATTACACAATGATAAGCTTCCTATTCCATCTGCAGCCAATGGCTGCCTGAATAAATAATTAACTTAGGTTATTTAAGAACTCATAATGGTAAAATAGGAACTTGTGTAATTCATTAATTGATACAATGGGCAAATATGTATGGAAGGTTTTGTTCAAATCAAAAGGGGAGATGTCAAAAAGTGAATGAATTCAAATGGATTTACTCCATACCATTATTATCTTTAATAAGTGCCGAGCTGGCCGCCCGGCCAAACTGAGCAATCGGGGGAGAAGGGCCTTGGTCAGGGAGGTGACCAAGAACCCGATGGTCACTCTGACAGAGCTCTAGAGTTCCTCTGTGGAGATGGGAGAACCTTCCAGAAGGACAACCATCTTTGCAGCACTCCACCAATCAGGCCTTTATGGTGGAGTGGCCAGACGGAAGCCACTCCTCAGTAAAAGGCACATGACAGCCCGCTTGGAGTTTGCCAAAAGACACCTAAAGGACTCTGACCATGAGAAACAAGATTATCTGGTCTGATGAAACCAAGATTGAACTCTTTTGCCTGAATGCCAAGCGTCACGTCTGAAGGAAACCTGGCACCATCCCTACGGTGAAGCATGGTGGTGGCAGCATCATGCTGTGGCAATGTTTTTCAGCGGCAGGGACTGTGAGACTAGTCAGGATTGAGGCAAAGATGAACGGAGCAAAGTACAGAGAGATCCTTGATGAAAACCTGCTCCAGAGCGCTCAGGACCTCAGACTGGGGCGAAGGTTCACCTTCCAACAGGACAACGACCCTAAGCACACAGCCAAGACAACGCAGGAGTGGCTTGGGGAAAAGTCTCTGAATGTCCTTGAGTGGCCCAGCCAGAGCCCGGACTTGAACCTGATCGAACATCTCTGGAGAGACCTGAAAATAGCTGTGCATCGACGCTCCCCATCCAACCTGACAGAGCTTGAGAGGATCTGCAGAGAAGAATGGGAGAAACTCCCCAAATACAGGTGTGCCAAGCTTAGTCATACCAAAGAAGACTCAAGTCTGTACTCGCTTCCCAAGTTGCTTCAACAAAGTACTGAGTAAAGGGTCTGAATACCTATGTAAATGTAATATTTCAGTTTTTTATTTTTAATAAATTAGCACACATTTCTAAAAAAACAGTTTTTGCTTTGTCATTATTGGATATTGTGTGTAGATTGATGAGGAAAACCTTTAAAAAAAAATCACTTTTAGAATAAGACTGTAACGTAACAAAATGTGGAAAAAGTCAAGGTGTCTGAATACTTTCCGAAGGCACATGTGTATCGTTTTGCCCCTTTTTTTAAAGAGCTGCATAAAATCTAATTACTTACAACTTCGGTTGGTATTGCAATAAAGTATTAAAACTTGAATCCAAACTAAAATGGCTGCCCCACTTCCTCCCCAGGTAAGAGCAAGGAGGCGGAGATCAAGCGGATCAATAAGGAGCTGGCCAACATCCGCTCCAAGTTCAAGGGGGACAAGGCCCTGGATGGCTATAGTAAAAAGAAGTATGTCTGCAAGCTGCTCTTCATCTTCCTGCTGGGACATGACATCGACTTTGGACACATGGAGGCTGTCAACCTGCTCAGCTCCAACAAGTACACAGAGAAACAGATCGTAAGTGTAGTGTGCGCGTGTGTGTGTGTGCGCGTGCGTGTGTGAGAGCACCCAACTTGTATGAATAAAACATGTATGTGTGCTGTGTCCTTGCGGCTATGTCTGTCTGTGTGGGTTGTCTGTATATTTTCAGTTTGTGGCAAGGCAGCAGCTACTCTTCCTGGGGTCCAAACATATTAAAGCACTTACATTACATATAAAACTAAATATAAAACATTACATCATATAACATTACACCACTACATATCTACAATACAAAATGTTTAATACCACTATACAACAATATCACAATGTGTGCGTATGCATATGTCTGTACCTTTTGTGTGTGTCTCTTCACAGTCCCCGTTGTTCCGTAAGGTGTATTTTTATCTGTTTAAAAAAAATCTGATTCTACTGCTTGCATCAGTTACCTGATGTGGAATAGAGTTCCATGTAGTCATTGCTCTATTTAGTACTGTGCGCCTCCCATGGTCTGTTCTGGACTTGGGACTGTGAAGAGACCTCTGGTGGCATGTCTTGTGGGGTATGCATGGGTGTCCGAGCTGTGTGCTAGTATTTTAAACAGACAGCTCAGTACATTCAGCTTGTCAACACCTCTTACAAAAACAAGTAGTGATAAAGTCAATCTCTCTTCCACTTTGAGCCATGAGAGATTGACATGCATATCATTAATGTTAGCTCTCCGTGTACTTTTAAGGGCCAGCCGTGCTGCCCTGTTCTGAGCCAACTGCAATTTTCTCAAGTCCCTCTTTGTGGCACCTGACCACACTGCTGAACAGTAGTCTAGGTGCGACAAAACTAGGCCCTGTTAAGAAGGCAGAGCAGCGCTTTATTATGGACAGACTTCTCCCCATCTTAGCTACTGTTGTATCGATATGTTTTGACCATGACAGTTTACAATCCAGGGTTACTCCAAGCAGTTTAGTCACCTCAACTTGCTCAATTTCCACATTATTCATTACGAGATGTAGTTGAGGTTTAGGGTTTAGTGAATGATTTGTCCCAAATAGAATGCTTTTAGTTTTGGAAATATTTAGGACTAATTTATTCCTTGCTACCCATTCCGAAACTAACTGCAGCTCTTTAAGTGTTGCAGTTATTTCAGTTGCTGTAGTAGTTGACATGTATAGTGTTGAGTCATCCGCATACATAGACACACTGGCTTTACTCAAAGCCAGTGGCATGTTGTTAGTAAAGATGGAAAGAAAGTAAGGGGCCTAAACAGCTACCCTGGGGAATTCCTGATTCTACCTGGATTATGTTAGTGAGGCTTCCATTAAAGAACACCCTCTGTGTTCTGTTAGACAAGTAACTCTTCATCCACATTATAGCAGGGGGTGTAAAGCCATAAAACAAGTTTTTCCAGCAGCAGACTATGATCGATAATGTCAATTGCTGCACTGAAGTCTAACAAGACAGCCCCCACAATCATTTTATCATCAATTTCTCTCAGTCAATCAGTCATTTGCGTAAGTGCCATGCATGTTTAATGTCCTTCCCTATAAGCGTGCTGAAAGTCTGTTGTCAATTTGTTTACTGTAAAATAGCATTGTATCTGGTCAAACACCATTTTCCCCAGAAGTTTACTAAGGGTTGGTAACAGGCTGATTGGTCGGCTATTTGAACCAGTAAAGAGGGCTTCACTATCCTTGGGCAGTGGAATGACTTTAGCTTCCCTCCAGGCCTGAGGGCACAATCTTTCTAGTAGGCTTAAATTGAAGATGTGGCAAATAGGAGTGGCAATATTGTCCGCTATTATCCTCAGTAATTTTCCATCCAGATTGTCAGACCCGGGTGGCTTGTCATTGTTGATAGACAACAATAATTTTATCACCTCTTCCAAACGGACTTTACGGAATTCAAAATTACAATGCTTGTCTTTCATAATTTGGTCAGATATACTTGGATGTGTAGTGTCAGCATTTGTTGCTGGAATGTCATACCTAAGTTTGCTTATCTTGCCAATGAAGAAGTCATTAAAGTAGTTGGCAATATCAGTGGGTTTTGTGATGAATGAGCCATCTGATTCAATGAATGATGGAGCCGAGTTTACTTTTTTCCCCAAAATGTCATTTAAGGTGCTCCAAAGCTTTTTTACTATCATTCTTTATATCATTTATTTTTGTTTCATAGTATAGTTTATTTTTCTTTAGTTTAGTCACATGATTTCTTAATTTGCAGTACGTTTGCCAATCAGTTGGGCTGCCAGACTTATTTGCAATACCTTTTGCCTCCTCCCTCTCAACCATACAATTTTTCAATTCCTCATCAATCCAAGGGGATTTAACAGTTTTACAGTCATTTTCTTAATGTGTGCGTGCTTATTAGTAACTGGAATAACCAGTTTCACACGTGTCAAGTGCAGCGTCTGGTTGCTCCTCATTACACACCACAGACCAGAAAATATTATTTACATCATCAACATATGAATCACAACAAAACGTATTGTATGACCTCTTATACACTATATTAGGCCCAGCCTTTGGAACTTTGGTTTTCCTAGATATGGCTACTATATACATCCTATGGATTTGGATACTGCTTTAAAGCAAATTTCTGCAGCGTTAGTAAAGATGTGATCAATACATGTTGATGATTTAATTCCTGTGCTGTTTGTAAATACCCTCTGCCACTGTATTACTTTTTCTCTTAAACTGTTCTTTCAATGCTTATAGTAAACATACACTGGTACATTAACATAACCCATTCTGGGGTCCTAGTCTTGTCTGTTTATATTTGCAGTACAACAGATCATTGAACTTAGTGTCATTCATTCGAATGTCAAGCTCTGCTTTGGTGTTCAGATATTCTGACCGGAACATTCAATTGCCAGTGCAAAGACTTATAAGTAGTCCTATATATGTCACGGTATGTATGACTATTGGGTTATACGATATGTATATAAAAAGATTTACGTTGAAGTTTGACCTGACAGGGCGTGTTTCAGTACTAACTCTTTCACAATGGTAGCCTTTGGTCTGGTTTGAATACTTTGAAAATGTTTTGCCTTCCTTTCCTTCCTTTGATAATGTTGTGGAAACCACACATTCGCTCTAGTCATGTCAGATTAGTGGTTTCATTGAGGAAAAAGGAAGGCAATACGTTACAAAGTATTTTTACAAGGCCACATTGCACATTCAGTAGGGTACATCATTGTGGAATATTCACATATAAAAATACTGTGAAGACATGCCTCTGATGTTCACAGTAAGAAATCATGTCATCTATTCACTCTAACACAACCCAGGTTCAGAGGGTTTGAATTGAAAAGATGATGTCATGCCTCTTCACCGTTTGGTGGAGGAACGCTCCAATGCACCTTAAGACAAAACAATGGTTACGTCTCAAATTAGGGTTGTGAACGTTTTAGGGCTGACCCCAATTAGTCGACTGGTCGATTGTTTGGTTGATAGGCTGTTGGTCGACCAATATTTTTTTTTAGTCGAGCAGTAGCAAATTGTTTTGATTTTTAAGGCATACGACACACCTGTCTGATTCACGCCCATCTCAGTGAACTAATCCATTGCGGAGGCCACATGGATGGCGCAGTCCAAGAAGAAGGTCAGTGTGGCTAAAATGCACAATGCACGTCTCTCTTCAGAATGCGCTCTCTCCTGCCAATTTGTGCACATTCATTGTTTCATAACTTTGTGTGAGTTGTTTGCCTTGATTGTTAGTGTCTATCAATTCCCCATTACATATATCACCAGTAGTAGCCTACATTTACCGTTAATTCCTATAATTTCTAATCTACAATGTTTGTTTGGTTACAGTCATTTCTGTTAATGCTTTCAATGTATTATTATTCCAGTCTTTTACCATTCTCATTGTAAGAGTGGACACGTTGTTTGCAGAGCGCACAACCTATGCTACACTTGTGAGAAACAACTTCTGGCCTCCTGTAGCTCAATTGGTAGAGCATGGCGCTTGCAACGCCAGGGTTGTGGGTTCAATTCCCACGGGGGGCCAGTATGAATTTTTTTTATGCACTCACTAACTGTAAGTTGCTCTGGATAAGAGCGTCTGTTAAATGACTAAAATGTAAATGTAACTTCATTCCATTTACGATTTTTGTCAATTTAATCATAGTTATTTGTTTGGAGCACTACTGTCAATGTTAAGTAAGGACGTGCACTGATTATGCATAGATGTAGGCCTATAGGCTACCTGGATATTTTCTACCTGCAGGCTGCAATGTTTTTATTTGTAGGCTTTATCTAGGCTATTTTTACCTAGTTGGCAATGGCAATAGAAGTTACTTTTTAGTTTTGTATAATTTTCATTTATATTTGGATAGAATTTTGATTAACCACATGACAATGATTATGAGATACTAAGACGTTATTATAAATTAAATTAAAATGTTCCACAAAAATGTGCATATGAAAACCATAACTGGCACGCAGATCAGTAGAAATTGTAAGATAAGTTGGCATTCCACATGAGAAAGGCTGCCGACTTCTCGTGTAGCCTATTACCGGCAACTTCAGGAGAGTAATGGCCGAATCTGTAAAAGTCAGCAGGAGGAGGATGGTCAGGTTAAGCTGGTTCTCTTCTTGATCTCTGGCTCCCTCTTGAGTCATTTGTGTCTTATTTCATCAAACAGTGCGCTTAAAGCATCAGACAAGCTCAATTCATATGTAATTGATTTGATTAAAACACATATATGGAAAACACTATATATGGAACAAATTTCTACTAATCGATTGGTCGAAAGAACAGACGACTTTTGGCCGAGCAAGATTTTTTAAAGTCGGGGACAGCCCTAGAACGTTTAAATGTTAAAACGTTTAAACAAAATGTAGATCCTGAATGTTAAGAAAAATCCTTAACCGAAAAACAATGTATTTTTCTTTCTTTAAAATCACAGTGCAGTTATCACAAAACTACCACTAACAGGTTCCGATCATCATCATAATCAAACAAATAACTAATGCAACAAATGCTGTAACGTTAGTAGGAGGAAATAAATGATATTTTATTAACCGTAGCTGTAATGCATGAGGGAGAGCAAGAGACTCGAAGCAGAGCAGCAGCTCAAATGTGCGTGACGAGAGGGGGAGAGCAATAGCAACCAAGTCGACTGGTACTGGTAGACTAACTTATTGCTAGTTTTTTTAAAATAAATTTTACATTTAGCAGACGCTCTTATCCAGAGCGACTTACAGTAGTGCAGGGGGTTCCCAAACTCTTTCGACCCCAACCATGTGAAAATAAATCTGTAATTAACAGCCAATGTTAACTTTTTTATTTGAGGCTATGGCAGTCAATTGAAAAACATTCTAGCAGTATTTCTGATTGTCTTCTCAACTCACCATCACATACTTTTAATGTGGAGCAGTCTATTGCAAATTAGTCTGACAAAATGTATCTTATCTCACCACCACTAATAAAATGGGTGTGCTTGATGCATGTCACGTCGGAGCTTCCCAAAGTCAAGGGACTTGGTCGACAGTGCGCATCTCATCTCTGCTGTTACATCCAACCTTGATCAATATTTGGTTTTAATGCAGACTGAATAGATATGAGCTGGTGAAGGGTACCTCTGTAGCTCAGCTGGTAGAGCACGGCGCTTGTAACGCCAAGGTAGTGGGTTCGATCCCCGGGACCACCCATACACAAATAAATGTATGCACGCATGACTGTAAGTCGCTTTGGATAAAAGCGTCTGCTAAATGGCATATTATTACCATGAGCTCTATGGTGCTTCCAAGACAACTGAGAACTCGGAGGTCAAATCATGACGTCAGTGATCTTAAGGTCGGAAAGTCGGAGCTCTAGAAAGAGTTCCTGAGTTGGAATTCCGAGTTGGATGACCGTTCAAAACTATTTTTCCCAGTCTTTAGAGTTCGTTTTTTCCCAAGTTCCCAGTTGTCCACGATCAGCTCCTTCGTTTTGTTGACGTAGAGGTTAATTACATTAATGCTCAGAGGGAGACGGCATGGTATTATTCTCTGTGAATGCGTTGTCTGCAGTCTTCGGTCATATGATTTCACTTACCAGCATGTCAACTGAGCCAGGATCACAGTCAAACAGATTGGGAAGTAGGTCCAAAAGTGATCTTTCAAGCGTTGGAGGTGAGCAGTCATGACTCGTGTGGGACACCTACTGATGCTTTTTTCTGTTAGAAACATGCACAGCCGAGGGAAGGAGGCATTGTTCGCTTTTGAAAGACTTTATCCAATAAGAATTTTGGTTGAGTAACCAGGTGGTAGCCGGCTAGTGATGGCTATTTAACAGTCTGATGGCCTTGAGATAGAATATGTTTTTCAGTCTCTCGGTCCCAGCTTTGATGCACCTGTACTGACCTCGCCTTCTGGATGATAGTGGGGTGAACAGGCAGTGGCTCGGGTGGTTCATGTCCTTGATGATCTTTTTGGCCTTCCTGTGACATCGGGTGCTGTAGGTGTCCCGGAGGGCAGGCAGTGTGCCCCCGGTGATGCGTTGGGCAGACCGTACCACCCTCTGGAGAGCCCTGCGGTTGCGGGAGGTGCAGTTGCCGTACCAGGCGGTGATACAACCCGACAGGATGCTCTCAATGGTGCATCTGTAAAAGTTTGTGAGGGTCTTAGGGGACAAGCCACATTTCTTCAGCCTCCTGAGGTTGAAGAGGCGCTGTTGCTTCTTCTTCACCATACTGTCTGTGTGGGTGGACCATTTTCAGTGATGTCTGCTGAGGAACTTGAAGCTTTCCACGTTCTCCACTGCGGTCTCGTCGATGTGGATAGGGGCGTGCTCCCTCTGCTGTTTCCTGAAGTCCACGATCAGCTCCTTCGTTTTGTTGACGTAGAGGTTATTTTCCTGGCACCACTCCGCCAGGGCCTTCACCTCCTCCCTGTAGGAGTTCTTGTCATTGTTGGTAATCAGGCCTACTACTGTTGTGTCGTCTGCAAACTAGATGATTGAGTTGGAGGTGTGTGTGGCTACGCAGTCATGGGTGAACAGGGAGTACAGGAGGGGGCTGAGCATGCACCCTTGTGGGGCCCCTGTGTTGAGGATCAGCGAAGTGGAGGTGTTGTTTCCTACCTTCACCACCTGGGGGGCGGCCCGTCAGGAAGTCCAGGACCCAGTTGCACAGGGTGGGGTTCAGACCCAGGGCCCCGAGCTTAGAGATTAGCTTGTTCATAGTCAATGAACAGCATTCTGACGTAGGTATTCCTCTTGTCCAGATGGGATAGGGCAGTGCGATGGCGATTGCATCGTCTGTGGATCTATTGGAGCGGTAAGCAAATTGAAGTGGGTCTAGGGTGTCAGAAATGGTAGCAGAAGGTGAATGTTGAACTTTTGTTGCACACATATCCAGATAATGCTGCGTACCCTTTTGCGCAATGACACTATAGGTATGTTCGAGGCGTAGCAATGCACTTTGGCTGCTCTACGAGTGGTCTGGATCACGCATTGATTTGCAAAGGTTTTTAAGAGCTACGTTACTAATGAAGGCTCTGGGAAACAATTCGGGTACTAAATATACATCGTAAGAAGGTTCTAATGGTGATCTTAACGCCACGAAGACTCTGGGAAACGAGGCCCTGGTCAAGAGTAGTGCACTGTGTAGGGAATAGGGTGCCATTTGGGACACAGACAATGGCTACACAACACTTTGTCATGATGTGGTGACGTGTAGGCTACCTCCCGGTCTCTCATTCTCCTCAGGTCATTGTTACAGTATCCGTTTCCTTCTTTCTTCTGCACCCAACCCTAAAGGACGACAAGCCTCTTGAACTAGAATGGCCTTCCATGTGAAAGCATTTGAGAAGACTTTCTATTAGCAAGAGGAACAGAGGAGGAGAATTTGAGAAGAGAGTAGAGTGGCAGAGAATCCTTCTTCTTTTTTATTTTATTTTTATTTCACCTTTATTTAACCAGGTAAGCCAGTTGAGAACAAGTTCTCATTTACAACTGCGACCTGGCCAAGATAAAGCAAAGCAGTGTGATTAAAAACAACAACAACAGAGTTACATATGGAATAAACAAAAACATAGTCAATAACACAATAGAAAATAGAAAATCTATATACAGTGTGTGCAAATGTAGTAAATTATGGAGGTAAGGCAATAAATAGGCCATAGTGCAAAATAAATACAATTTAGTATTAACACTGGAGTGATAGATGTGCAGAAGATGATGTGCAAATAGAGATACTGGGGTGCAAATGAGCAATGTAAATAACAATATGGGGATGAGGTAGTTGGGTGGGCTAATTAGATGGGCTGTGTACAGGTACAGTGATCGGTAAGCTGCTCTGACAACTGATGCTTAAAGTTAGTGAGGGAGATAAGAGTCTCCAGCTTCAGAGATTTGTGTAGTTCGTTCCAGTCATTTGCAGCAGAGAACTGGAAGGAATGGCGGCCAAAGGAGGTGTTGGCTTTGGGGATGACCAGTGAGATATACCTGCTGGAGCGCATACTACGGGTGGGTGTTGCTATGGTGACCAATGAGCTAAGATAAGGCGGGGATTTGCCTAGAAGTGATTTATAGATGACCTGGAGCCAGTGGGTTTGGCGACGAATATGTAGTGAGGGCCAGCCAACGAGAGCGTACAGGTCACAGTGGTGGGTAGTATATGGGGTTTTGGTGACAAAACGGATGGCACTGTGATAGACTACATTACATTTACATTTACATTTTAGTCATTTAGCAGACGCTCTTATCCAGAGCGACTTACAGGAGCAATTAGGGTTAAGTGCCTTGCTTAAGGGCACATCGACAGATCTTTCACCTAGTCGGCTCGGGGATTAGAACCAGCGACCTTTCGGTTACTGGCACAACGCTCTTACCCACTAAGCTACCTGCCGCCCTACATCCTGAGTAGAGTGTTGGAAGCTATTTTGTAAATGACATCGCCGAAGTCAAGGATCGGTAGGATAGTCCGTTTTACGAGGGCATGTTTAGCAGCATGAGTGAAGGAGGCTTTGTTGTGAAACAGGAAGCCGATTCTAGATTTAACTTTGGATTGGAGATGCTTAATGTGAGTCTGGAAGGAGAGTTTACGGTCTAACCAGACACCTAGGTATTTGTTGTTGTCCACATATTCTAAGTCAGACCCGCCGAGAGTAGTGATTCTAGTCGGGCGGGCGGGTGCAAGCAGCGTTCGATTGATGCATTTAGTTTTACTAGCGTTTAAGAGCAGTTGGAGGCCACAGAAGGAGTGTTGTATGGCATTGAAGCGCGTTTGGAGGTTTATTAACACAGTGTCCAATGAAGGGCCAGATGTATACAAAATGGTGTCGCCTCCGTAGAGGTGGATCTGAGTCGGCCCGAGAATTGAACCCATAGAGACTGCCAGAGGTCCAGACAACAGGCCCTCCGATTTGACACTTTGAACTCTATCTGAAAAGTAGTTGGTGAACCAGGCGAGGCAGTCAGTTGAGAAACCAAGGCTATTTAGTCTGCCAATAAGAATGCGGAGATTGACAGAGTCAAAAGCCTTGGCCAGGTCGATGAAGACGGCTGCACAGTACTGTCTTTTATCAATCGCGGTTATTATATAGTTTAGGACCTTGAGCGTTGCTGAGGTGCACCCATGACCAGTTCGGGGGGGGGGGGGGGGGGGGCATGGGCAAGTTGCAGCGGAGGGTGCAGAGCTGGTGGCCGGGGTAGGGGTAGCCAGGTGGAAAGCATGGCCAGCTGTAGCAAAATGCTTATTGAAATTCTCGATTTATCGTAGATTTATCGGTGGTGACAGTGTTTCCTAGCCTCAGTGCAGTGGGTAGCTGGGAGGAGGTGCTTTTATTCTCCATGGACTTTACAGTGTCCCAAAACTTTTTGGAGTTAGTGCTACAGGATGCAAATTTCTGTTTGAAAAAGCTAGCCTTTGCTTTCCTAACTGATTGTGTATATTGGTTCCTGACTTCCCTGAAAAGTTGCATATCGCGGGGGCTGTTCGATGCTAATGCAGTACGCCACAGGATGTTTTTGTGCTGGTCAAGGGCAGTCAAGTCTGGGGTGAACCAGGGGCTATATCTGTTCTTAGTTCTGCATTTTTTGAATGGGGCATGCTTATTTAAGATGGAGAGGAAAGCAATTTTGAAGAACATCCAGGCATCCTCTACTGACAGAATGAGGTCAATATCCATCCAGGATACCTGGGCCAGGTCAATTAGAAAGGCCTGCTCGCTGAAGTGTTTTAGGGAGCGTTTGACAGTGATGAGGGGTGGTCGTTTGACCACGGACCCATTAAGGCAATGAGGCAGTGATCGCTGAGATCTTGGTTGAAGACAGCGGAGGTGTATTTAGAGGGTAAATTAGTCAGGATGATATCTATGAGGGTGCCCATGTTTACGGATTTAGGGTTGTACCTGGTAGGTTCCTTGATAATTTGTGTGAAATTGAGGGCATCTAGTTTAGATTGTAGGATGGCTAGATTGTGTTAAGCATATCCCAGTTTAGGTCACAAAGCAGTACGAACTCTGAGGATAGATGGGGGGCAATCAATTCACATATGGTGTCCAGGGCACAGCTGGGGGCTGAGGGGGGTCTGTAGCAAGCGGCAACAGTGAGAGACTTACTTCTGGAGAGGTGGATTTTTAGAAGTAGAAGCTCAAACTGTTTGGGCACAGACCTAGATAGTATGATAGAGCTCTGCAGGCTATCTCTACAGTAGATTGCAACTCCGCCCCCTTTGGCAGTTCTATCTAGACGGAAAATGTTGTAGTTCGGGATGGACATTTCTGAATTTTTGGTGGCCTTCCTAAGCCAGGATTCAGACACTGCTAGAACATCAGGGTTGGCAGAGTGTGCTAACGCAGTGAATAACTCAAACTTGGGGAGGAGGCTTCTGATGTTAACATGCAAGAAACCAAGGCTTTTACGGTTACAGAAATCAATAAATGATCGCGCCTGGTGAGTAGGAGTGATACTGGGGGCTACAGGGCCTGGGTTAACCTCTACATCACCAGAGGAACAGAGGAGGAATATAATAAGTATACGGCTAAAGGCTTTAAGAACTGGGCGGCAGGTAGCTTAGTGGTTAAGAGCGTTGTGCCAGTAACCGAGAGGTCGCTGGTTCTAATCCCCGAGCCGACTAGGTGAAAAATCTGTTGATGTGCCCTTGAGCAAGGCACTTAACCCTAATTGCTCATGTAAGTCGCTCTGGATAAGAGCGTCTGCTAAATGTCTAAAATGTAAAAAATGTCTTCTAGTGCGTTGGGTACAGAGAATAAACGGGACTGATTTCCAGGCGTTGTAGAATAGATTCAGGGCATTATGTACAGACAAGGATATGGAAGGATATGAGTACAGTGGAGGTACACCTAAGCATTGGGTAACGATGAAAGAGATAGCATCACTGGAGGTACCGATTGAGCCGGTCTCTGCGTGTATTGGGGGTGGGACAAAGAAGCTATCTGAGGCAGGTTGAGCGGGACAGGGGGCTTTACAGTGAAATAGTACAATAACAACTAACCCAAACAGCAATAGGCTAGGCATATTGACATGGGGGAGAGGCATAACGCAATCACAGGTGTTATTCGAGAGGGCTAAGACAACAACTGGTAATGGCGACGAAAGTTTGGGCTGAGGCTAAACAGATAAACAGGATGGGGTACCGTGTAAAGGAACAGTAGCTTAAGCTGAGTGATCATAAGGTCCATTGAACAGCAATAGGTAAGTCCGGGAGCAGTTCGTAGGCTGCTACAGCACAGGCGAGCAGGAGGCACGGCTGTTGATTGCGCGTGCTAGCGGGCCGGTGCTAGCAGGTGTATCTTCATGGTCGTCACAACGGGAAGCCTGTTGAAACCGCATCAGACGACTACGTCGGCAGACCAGTCGTGATGGATCGGCTCCGTGTCGACACTAGGAGGTCCCGTCCTGTTGATAGAGTTGTGGATAGCCGGGAGATGGGCCTGGCTCGAGGCTAGCTCAAGGCTAACTGAGGATGGTCTTAGTGCCAACATCGGTTTGTGGTGGTAAATAGACGACAATGAAAAATATAGATGAGAACTCTGTTGGTAGATCGTTTTGTCTACAGCTTATCATGAGGTATTCTACCTAAGGCGAGCAATACCTCGAGACTTCTTTTAATATTAGACATTGTGCACCAGCAGTTATTGACAAATAGACACACACTATCGCCCCTCGTCTTACCAGACGTAGCTACTCTATCCTGCCGATGCACAGAAAACCCAGCCAGCTGTATATTATCCATGTCGTCGTTCAGCCACGACTCTGTGAAATATAAGATATTACAGTTTTTAATGTCCCGTTGGTAGGATAGTCTGGATCGTAGATCATCGAGTTTGTTTTCCAGTGATTGCAATAGGACCGATGGTAATGGCAATTTACTCACTTGCCTACGAACCCAAACAAGGCACCCCGACCTTCTCCCTCTGTATTTTCATATTTTCTTCACGCCAATGACGGGGATTTGGACCTATATCCTTCGCGTGGGACTCATTAAATAAAAAAATTCATCCAAGTATTTTGTGAGTAATCGCTGTTCTGATGTCCAGAAGCTCTTTTCGGTCATAAGAGACGGTAGCAGCAACTTTATGTACAAAATAAGTGACAAACAATGGGGACCGATGGTAAAAACTAACAAAATAGCACTGTTGGTTAGGAGCCCGTAAAACGGCAGCCATCCCCTCCGGCGCCATTATTAACAATCTAAGTGAATAGCCTTAATGACGATTTGTGGTTGCATGTAAAGACTCACAAAGCATACAGTGGGGGAAAAAAGTATTTAGTCAGCCACCAATTGTGCAAGTTCTCCCACTTAAAAAGATGAGAGAGGCCTGTAATTTTCATCATAGGTACACGTCAACTATGACAGACAAAATGAGATTTTTTTTCTCCAGAAAATCACATTGTAGGATTTTTAATGAATTTATTTGCAAATTATGGTGGAAAATAAGTATTTGGTCAATAACAAAAGTTTCTCAATACTTTGTTATATACCCTTTGTTGGCAATGACACAGGTCAAACGTTTTCTGTAAGTCTTCACAAGGTTTTCACACACTGTTGCTGGTATTTTGGCCCATTCCTCCATGCAGATCTCCTCTAGAGCAGTGATGTTTTGGGGCTGTTGCTGGGCAACACAGACTTTCAACTCCCTCCAAAGATTTTCTATGGGGTTGAGATCTGGAGACTGGCTAGGCCACTCCAGGACCTTGAAATGCTTCTTACGAAGCCACTCCTTCGTTGCCCGGGCGGTGTGTTTGGGATCATTGTCATGCTGAAAGACCCAGCCACGTTTCATCTTCAATGCCCTTGCTGATGGAAGGAGGTTTTCACTCAAAATCTCACGATACATGGCCCCATTCATTCTTTCCTTTACACGGATAAGTCGTCCTGGTCCCTTTGCAGAAAAATAGCCCCAAAGCATGATGTTTCCACCCCCATGCTTCACAGTAGGTATGGTGTTCTTTGGATGCAACTCAACATTCTTTGTCCTCCAAACACGACGAGTTGAGTTTTTACCAAAAAGTTATATTTTGGTTTCATCTGACCATATGACATTCTCCCAATCCTCTTCTGGATCATCCAAATGCACTCTAGCAATCTTCAGACGGGCCTGGACATGTACTGGCTTAAGCAGGGGGACACGTCTGGCACTGCAGGATTTGAGTCCCTGGCGGCGTAGTGTGTTACTGATGGTAGGCTTTGTTACTTTGGTCCCAGCTCTCTGCAGGTCATTCACTAGGTCCCCCCGTGTGGTTCTGGGATTTTTGCTCACCGTTCTTGTGATCATTTTGACCCCACGGGGTGAGATCTTGCGTGGAGCCCCAGATCGAGGGAGATTATCAGTGGTCTTGTATGTCTTCCATTTCCTAATAATTGCTCCTACAGTTGATTTCTTCAAACCAAGCTGCTTACCTATTGCAGATTCAGTCTTCCCAGCCTGGTGCAGGTCTACAATTTTGTTTCTGGTGTCCTTTGACAGCTCTTTGGTCTTGGCCATAGTGGAGTTTGGAGTGTGACTGTTTGAGGTTGTGGACAGGTGTCTTTTATACTGATAACAAGTTCAAACAGGTGCCATTAATACAGGTAACGAGTGGAGGAAAGAGGAGCCTCTTAAAGAAGAAGTTACAGGTCTGTGAGAGCCAGAAATCTTGCTTGTTTGTAGGTGACCAAATACTTATTTTCCACCATAATTTGCAAATAAATTCATAAAAAATCCTACAATGTGATTTTCTGGAGAAAAAAATTCTCAATTTGTCTGTCATAGTTGACGTGTACCTATGATGAAAATTACAGGCCTCTCTCATCTTTTTAAGTGGGAGAACTTGCACAATTGGTGGCTGACTAAATACTTTTTTCCCCCACTATCTTATGAGGCATAATGAAGCCTTGTAATAAGGACTTCAGATGCATCACATGTTGGGCCTATATCAATCCAGTGACGATATACGTAGGCCCCTAACACATTCGAATGACAGTATTATGTAAGCCTGTGATAGCGATCACTACAAATGAAGTGTTATTGATCTTTCTCTCCCTCATCACAGTAGAACATACATTAAGTGGCAGCCAGTGGGAGGCTACTAGCCGACAGAGCCATGGAGAGTTCTGCCAACTTTAATAACGGACGACATGTTTGTGCCTTTGAACATTAAATGGATCAATTCATGACAAGTATTTCGGATTCTAATTCTCTAACTCTGTAAATATATGGCTCTGCTAGCCGTTATGGCTTTGGGATCGCCCAGCTTGACAGCATTAGAAACAATACGTGGGCTAAGTCCCAATTCTCTACCATTCTCCCGAAGTGTGCAATTGGTGTAAGTACTCCAGCCAGTACTTACACCAATTCCATGCTTTTAAATCAATGACGGGAGTGTGCAAGTGCACATTTCTGGAAAAGAGTGGAGAATCAGGACGTAGCCATAGTGACACAGGAGACGAGCATTAGGCAATGCACTCAGTCAGGACACTCAAACATTCTGGGTCCCATCTTTCTATGCTGTCGCTCAACAAAATGAAATGCCTCTCCTCATCTCTGCTCTCCTCTCTGCAGCTTATTCGGCTGTGTAATGGCTGCGAGTGTTTTCTGTCTGAGGAGAGGGTGACTGGCTAATGAAGGGAGGGATGGGTGAATGGATAGGTAGGTGAATAGGTAGGTAGAGATACTTGATTCTATTACAATCAAGTAACACATTTGGGAACAAATGATATTTTATAAAACTAGTTAGTTTAAGTTTAATGCTGTTCCCCTTGAAAACTGCAGGATACAGTGCCTTCGGAAAGTATTCAGACACCTTGACTTTTTCCACATTATTTGACTTTTGTTACGTTACAGCCTTATTCTAAAATTGATAAAATTGTTTTTTCCCCTCATCAATCTACACACAATACCCCATAATGTCAAAGCAAAAGACAGGTTTTTAGAAATTTAAGCTAATTTAAAAAAAGAAAAAAAAGAAATCACATTTACATAAATATTCAGACCCTTCACTCAGTACTTTGTTGAAGCACCTTTGGCAGCGATTACAGCATTGAGTCTTCTTGGGTATGATGCTACAAGCTTGGCACACCTGTATTTGGGGAGTTTCTACCATTCTTCTCTGCATTACCTCTCAAGCTCTGTCAGGTTGGATGGGGAGCGTTGCTGCACAGCTATTTTCAGGTCTCTCCAGAGATGTTCGATCCGGTTCAAGTCCGGGCTCTGGCTGGGCCACTCAAGGACATTCAGAGACTTGTCCCGAAGCCACTCCTGCATTGTCTTGGCTGTGTGCTTAGGGTCGATGTCCTGTTGGAAGGTGAACCTTTGCATCAGTCTGAGGTCCTGAGCACTCTGGAGCTGGTTTTCATCAAGGATCTCTCTGTACTTTGCTCCGTTCATCTTTCCCTCGATCCTGACTAGTCTCCCAGTCCCTGCAGCTGAAAAACATCCCCACAGCATGATGCTGCCATCACCATGCTTCACTTTAGGGATGGTGCCAGGTTCCTCTCCCATTCAGGCCAAAGAGTTAAATCTGCTTTTTACTGAGGAGTGGCTTCCGTCTGGCCACACTACCGTAAAGGCCTGATTGGTGGAGGGCTGCAGAGATGGTTGTGCTTCTGGAAGGTTCTCCCATCTCCACAGAGGAACTCTGGAGCTCTGTCAGAGTGACCATCGGGTACTTGGTCACCTCCCTGACCAAGGCCCTTCTCCCCCGATTGCTCAGTTTGGCCGGGCGGCCAGTTCTAGGAAGAGTCTTGGTGGTTCAAAACTTCTTCCATTTAAGAATGATGGAGGCCACTGTGTTCTTGAGGACTTTCAATGCTGCAGACAGTTTGTGGTACCGTTCCCCAGATCTGTGCCTCGACACAATCCTGTCTCGGAGCCTTATATAGACAGGTGTGTGCCTTTCCAAATCATGTCCAATCAAATGAATTTATCACAGGTGTACTCCATTCAAGTTGTAGAAACATCTCAAGGATGATCAATGGAAACAGGATGCACCTGAGCTCAATTTCGGGTCTCATAGCAAAGGGTCTGAATACTTATGTAAATATGGTATTTCTGTTTTTCATGTTTAATACATTTGCCAAAATTTCTAAAAAACAGTTTTTGCTTTGTCATTATGGTGTATTATGTGTAGATTGCTGAGAAAAAAACAAAAAAAAAACAATTTTAGAATAAGGCTGTGACGTAACAAAGTGTGCAAAAAGTCAAAGGGTCTGAATACTTTCCGAAGGCACTATAAGGGAATGAGTGTGTTATGAAAGGAATATGATATGAGGGGTAGTGGCAGGCAGCCACGGTTCAGGTTCTGGAGGTTATGATGGCCCACTCCGTCTCTCTGAGTCTCAGCCACATGAAAGTGTGTCTCAAATGCGTCCCTATATAGTGTACTACTTTTGACCAGGGCCCATAGGGTATAGGGTGCCATTTGGGACGCAGACAAATACAGCAGGGATGGATGAACCCTCCACAAGGCGTCCTGCCATCACTCCCTACAGCTCACTTTCTCTCTTCTTTTTTTTCTACACCCTTCCCCTCCTTCCCTTCTCAGTCTCTGCTTCCCTCTTTCACTCCTCCGCCCGCCCCACTTTTCATCATATTCACCTCTCTTCCGATGACGCAACTCCCTCCTCTCCCTCCATCCTGCATCCTCCATCCTCTGTCCCCTACACTCCATCCCTCCAATGTATCGCCTCACCCCCTCTCTCCTCCCTCCCTCCCCCATCTGAGGCTGGTTCCTCTCAAGGTTTCTTCCTTTTAGGAATTAACACATTTTTCCTTGCCACTTGGCTGCTGCTTGTCGGGTTACTGTGAACCACTTTGTGTCAAATGTTGTTGTAAAAAGGGCTATACAAATAAAATATGATTGACTGATCTCTCCCTCTCTCTTCCCTCCCTCCCTCCCTCTCTCCACTCCCAGGGCTACCTGTTCATCTCGGTGCTGGTGAACAGCAACAGTGAGCTGATCCGCCTCATCAATAACGCCATCAAGAACGACCTGTCTAGCCGCAACCCCACCTTCATGTGCCTGGCTCTGCACTGCATCGCCAACGTGGGCAGCCGCGAGATGGCCGAGGCCTTCGCTGGAGAGATCCCACGCATTCTGGTGGCCGGGTAAGAATGGAGGGGATGGAGAGAGAGGGAGGAGTAATGAGGGAGAGGGGGGTAGAGGGAGAGAGCAATCAGTCAGTCAAATTGTATTCTTATATTACTTTTTACAACAACATTTGTCAGAGGGAGGGGTTGGGAAGAGAGGGATGGAGGAAGGGAAGGGAGGGTGAGGAGACCGGAGAGGCAAATGGAGGAAGGGGGAGGGGGACTGTGTACACGGAGAGGACATGATTTTCTTTGTATTAATATGCTATAACAGCATGGTTAGACAAAATCTGCGGTACAGACAATATCTTTCCAGGACCAGAGTTGTTGGAGACTGGTACTCCTTTATAGCATTGTATTTGGGACAAATCATTCACTAAACCTGAACTAAATCTTGTAATAAATAATGTGGAAATTGAGCAAGTTGAGGTGACTAAACTGCTTGGAGTAACCCTGGATTGTAAACTGTCATGGTCAAAACATATTGATACAACAGTAGCTAAGATGCTGCTCTACCTTCTTAACAGCACTATCAACAAGGCAGGTCCTACAGGCTCTAGTTTTGTCGCACCTGGACTACTGTTCAGTCGTGTGGTCAGGTGCCACAAAGAGGGACTTAGGAAAATTGCACACATGATAACATACGCACTATACACACACGTACACATGGATTTTGTGTTGTAGGTATGTGGTAGTGGAGTATGGGCCTGAGGGCACACACTTAGTGTGTTGTGAATTCTGTAAGGAATGTATTGTAATGTTTTTAAAATTGTACAACTGCCTTAATTTTGCCGGACCCCAGGAAGAGTAGCTGCTGCCTTGGCAGCAGCTAATGGGGATCCATAATAAATACAAATACTAATAGTGAGCATTGTGTTTACATTTACATTGTGTTGTTTGTGATGCGATTGCCAGGGACACCATGGACAGTGTGAAGCAGTCTGCTGCCCTGTGTCTTCTGCGTCTGTACAAGGCCTCCCCAGACCTGGTTCTGATGGGGGAGTGGACCTCCCGGGTGGTGCACCTCCTCAACGACCAGCACATGGTGAGAGACAGGCCATACATGTCTGCTCCAGCCCAACACTAGCACACCTGGGGTTTATTCACTAGGAATCAAACCTGAAAACCGGGGAGCAACTAAACTGAACTTGTCTAATTAGAAACATTTGCTTTCGTTGCAAAGCGGTTTCCTACACTAAGGAATACGCCCCTGATTTATCAGGTTGAATCAGATGTGCTAGTGCATTTATCTTCCAGGCCAATAGGTGGCGCAAGCTGGCTCTGTTACAATATCTACACTAGTCTAGAATGCTACTCTTAGTCTGTGTTTACACAGGCAGCCCAATTCAGATTTTTTCCCACATTAATTAGTCTTTTTACCAATCACATCAGATATTTTTCAGAGCTGATCTGATTGGTCAAAAGACCAATTAGTGAAAAAAAAGGACAAATCAAATCAAATGTTATTGGTCACATGCGCCGAATACAACAGGTGCTTACTTACAGCCCTTAACCAACAGTGCATTTATTTTAAACAAAAATAAAACAACAACAAAAAAAGTGTTGAGGAAAAAAAGTGCAGAAGTAAAATAAAGTGACAGTAGGGAGGCTATATATACAGGGGGGTACCGTTGCAGAGTCAATGTGCGGGGGCACCGGCTAGTTGAGGTAGTTGAGGTAATATGTACATGTGGGTAGAGTTAAAGTGACTATGCATAAATACTTAACAGAGTAGCAGCAGCGTAAAAAGGATGGGGTGGGGGGGCAGTGCAAATAGTCCGGGTAGCCATGATTAGCTGTTCAGGAGTCTTATGGCTTGGGGGTAGAAGCTGTTGAGAAGTCTTTTGGACCTAGACTTGGCACTCCGGTACCGCTTGCCGTGCGGTAGCAGAGAGAACAGTCTATGACTAGGGTGGCTGGAGTCTTTGACAATTTTGAGGGCCTTCCTCTGACACCGCCTGGTATAGAGGTCCTGGATGGCAGGAAGCTTTGCCCCAGTGATGTACTGGGCCGTACGCACTACCCTCTGTAGTGCCTTGCGGTCGGAGGCCAAGCAGTTGCCATACCAGGCGGTGATGCAACCAGTCAGGATGCTCTCGATGGTGCAGCTGTATAATTTTTTGAGGATCTGAGGACCCATGCCAAATCTTTTTAGTCTCCTGAGGGGGAATAGGCTTTGTCGTGCCCTCTTCACGACTGTCTTGGTGTGTTTGGACCATGATAGTTCGTTGGTGATGTGGACACCAAGGAACTTGAAGCTCTCAACCTGTTCCACTACAGCCCCGTCGATGAGAATGGGGGCGTGCTCAGTCCTCTTTTTTTTCCTGTAGTCCACAATCATCTCCTTTGTCTTGGTCACGTTGAGGGAGAGGTTGTTGTCCTGGCACCACACGGCCAGATCTCTGACCTCCTCCCTATAGGCTGTCTCATCGTTGTCGGTGATCAGGCCTACCACTGTTGTGTCGTCGGCAAACTTAATGATGGTGTTGGAGTCGTGCCTGGCCATGCAGTCATGGGTGAACAGAGAGTACAGGAGGGGACTGAGCACGCACCCCTGAGGGGCCCCCGTGTTGAGGATCAGTGTGGCAGATGTGTTGTTACCTACCCTTACCACCTGGGGGCGGCCCGTCAGGAAGTCCAGGATCCAGTTGCAGAGGGAGGTGTTTAGTCCCAGGATCCTTAGCTTAGTGATGAGCTTAGAGGGCACTATGGTGTTGAATGCTGAGCTGTAGTCAATGAATAGCATTCTCACGTAGGTGTTCCTCTTGTCCAGGTGGGAGAGGGCAGTGTGGAGTGCAATAGAGATTGCATCATCTGTGGATCTGTTGGGGCGGTAACACACCCCCCAGAATTGGGCTACCTGTCTAAATGCAGCCAGAGTAACCTAACGTAGCAGGCATAAAATAAATGCCTGAAAATAGATGCCTCAGATACTGGTCTTGACAACAACAACAAAAAACTGTCATGGGAGGTTATCTTCTGCACTGTTCAAAAATCTAAATGTGGAGGATGAGTTAAGATGGAGTGTCGCCTTGTTAATGTCCAAAAAGCGTAAGGCTCTCTCTTCCATTTCCCCTGAAAATGGTATGCATCCAGTTGCTGACAACACAGCCGAGGGTGCTATCTTAGTATGAAGGAATGGATATGTATTCTAAGTGGTACGCTGGTATGGATGTTGCAACATAACTACCGACTTCATTGAGACTGTAAGGTTGAAGTTTATGCCGTTTAGGTGTTACTGTTGTTTCTGATGATGACCGTGTCTCTCTCTCGCAGGGTGTTGTCACGGCAGCCATCTCCCTCATCACCTGTCTCAGCTCGAAGAACCCAGATGAGTTCAAAACCTGTGTGTCCCTGGCTGTGTCTCGTCTGAGCAGGGTGTGTGTGCGCATGTGTGCATGTATACCTATAAAATCATGTATATCAGTCCAGCGATCCATCCTCCCTTTGCCCCAATGTCTCTATCACCAGGATTTCAACCAATCTCTCTTTCTCCTCCTCCCTTTATTCTTCTCCAGATTGTGTCGTCAGCCTCCACTGACCTGCAGGACTACACCTACTACTTTGTCCCGGCCCCGTGGCTGTCCTGTAAACTGTTGCGCCTGCTGCAGTGCTACCCCCCGCCGGAGGATGGTGCCGTGAAGGGCCGCCTGGTGGAGTGTCTGGAGACCATCCTGAACAAGGCCCAGGAACCACCCAAGTCCAAAAAGGTGCAGCACTCCAACGCCAAGAACGCCATCCTGTTCGAGGCCATCTCGCTCATTATCCACTACGACAGGTGAGGGGGCTGTCTGTCTGTCAGTCTAGGCGTCTATTTCTTCTTCTTCTCTCCTTCTTTCAGTATCTCTTTCTCTGTATATTTTTCTTTCTCACATATACACTGAACAAAAATATTAACGCAACATGCAACAATTTCAAAGATTTTACTGAGTTACAGTTCATTAGGCCCTAATCTATGGATTTCACATGACTGGGAATACAGATATGCATCTTTTGGTCACAGATACCTTAAAAAAAAGGTAAGGGCGTAGATCAGAAAACCAGTCCGTATCTGGTGTGACCACCATTTGCCTCATCTCCTTCGCATAGAGTTGATCAGGCTGTTGATTGTGGCCTGTGGAATGTTGTCCCACTCCTCTTCAATGACTGTGCGAAGTTGTTGGATATTGGCGGGAACTGGAACAAGCTGTCGTACACGTCGATCCAGAGCATCCCAAACATGCTCAAAGGGTGACATGTCTGAGTATGCAGGCCATGGAAGAACTGGGACATTTTCAGCTTCCAGGAATTGTGTACAGATCCTTGCGACATGGGGCCGTGCATTATCATGCTGAAACATGAGGTGATGGCAGCGGATGAATGGCACGACAATGGGCCTCAGATTCTTGTCATGGTATCTCTGTGTATTCAAATTGCCATTGATAAAATGCAATTGTGTTTGTTGTCGGTAGCTTATGCCTGCCCATACCATAACCCCACCGCCACCATGAGGCACTCTGATCACAACATTTACATCAGCCCATACGACGCCATACACACTGTGCCATCTGTTCGGTACAGTTGAAACCGGGATTCATCTGTGAAGAGCACACTTCTCCAGCATGCTAGTGGCCATCAAAGGGGAGCATTTTCCCACTGAAGTTACGACGCCAAACTGCAGTCAGGTCAAGACCCTGGTGAGGACGACGAGCGATGGGAAACTGTTGAGCGTGAAAAACCCAGCAGCATTGCAGTTCTTGAAACAAACTGGTGCTCCTGGCACCTACTACCATATCCAGTTCAAATGCACTTAAATATTTTGTCTTGCCCGTTCACCCTCTGAATGGCACACATACACAATCCATGTCTCAAGGCGTAAAAATCCTTCTTTAACCTGTCTCCTCCCCTTCATTTACACTGATTCGAAGTGGATTTAACAGGTGACATCAATAAGGGATCATAGCTTTCACCTGGATTCACCTGATCAGTCTATGTCATGGAAAGAGCTAATGTTTTGTATACTCAGTGTACACCTTATAGAGTCCATTCCCCCAACGAATTGAGGCTGTTCTAAGGGCAAAAGGGGGTGCAACTCAATATTAGGAAGGTGTTCCTAATGTTTTGTACACTCAGTGTCTATATACAGTGCTTTTAGAAAGGATTCGCACCCCTTGACTTTTTCCACATTTGTTGTTACAGCCTGAATTTAAAATTGATTAAATGTAGATATTGTATCACTGGTCTACACACAATACTCCATAATGTCAAAGTGGAATTATGTTTTTACACATTTCTACAAATTAATAAAAAATGAAAAGCTGAAATGTCTTGAGTAAGTAAGTATTCAACCTCTAAATAAGTTCAGGAGTAAACGTTTCAAAAATCAAATCAAATCAAATCAAATTTTATTGGTCACATGCGCTGAATACAACAGGTGCAGACATTACAGTGAAATGCTTACTTACAGCCCTTAACCAACAGTGCATTTATTTTAAACAAAAAAGTAAGAATAAAACAACAACAAAAAAGTGTTGAGAAAAAAAGAGCAGAAGTAAAATAAAGTGACAGTAGGGAGGCTATATATACAGTAAAATAAAGTGACAGTAGGGAGGCTATATATACAGGGGGGTACCGTTGCATAGTCAATGTGCGGGGGCACCGGCTAGTTGAGGTAGTTGAGGTAATATGTACATGTGGGTAGAGTTAAAGTGACTATGCATAAATACTTAACAGAGTAGCAGCAGCGTAAAAAGGATGGGGTGGGGGGGCAGTGCAAATAGTCCGGGTAGCCACGATTAGCTGTTCAGGAGTCTTATGGCTTGGGGGTAGAAGCTGTTGAGAAGTCTTTTGGACCTAGACTTGGCACTCCGGTACCGCTTGCCGTGCGGTAGCAGAGAGAACAGTCTATGACTAGGGTGGCTGGAGTCTTTGACAATTTTGAGGGCCTTCCTCTGACACCGCCTGGTATAGAGGTCCTGGATGGCAGGGAGCTTTGCCCCAGTGATGTACTGGGCCATACGCACTACCCTCTGTAGTGCCTTGCGGTCAGAGGCCAAGCAGTTGCCATACCAGGCGGTGATGCAACCAGTCAGGATGCTCTCGATGGTGCAGCTGTAGAATTTTTTGAGGATCTGAGGACCCATGCCAAATCTTTTTAGTCTCCTGAGGGGGAATAGGCTTTGTCGTGCCCTCTTCACGACTGTCTTGGTGTGTTTGGACCATGATAGTTCGTTGGTGATGTGGACACCAAGGAACTTGAAGCTCTCAACCTGTTCCACTACAGCCCCGTCGATGAGAATGGGGGCGTGCTCAGTCCTCTTTTTTTTCCTGTAGTCCACAATCATCTCCTTTGTCTTGGTCACGTTGAGGGAGAGGTTGTTGTCCTGGCACCACACGGCCAGATCTCTGACCTCCTCCCTATAGGCTGTCTCATCGTTGTCGGTGATCAGGCCTACCACTGTTGTGTCGTCGGCAAACTTAATGATGGTGTTGGAGTCGTGCCTGGCCATGCAGTCATGGGTGAACAGAGAGTACAGGAGGGGACTGAGCACGCACCCCTGAGGGGCCCCCGTGTTGAGGATCAGTGTGGCAGATGTGTTGTTACCTACCCTTACCACCTGGGGGCGGCCCGTCAGGAAGTCCAGGATCCAGTTGCAGAGGGAGGTGTTTAGTCCCATGATCCTTAGCTTAGTGATGAGCTTAGAGGGCACTATGGTGTTGAATGCTGAGCTGTAGTCAATGAATAGCATTCTCACGTAGGTGTTCCTCTTGTCCAGGTGGGAAAGGGCAGTGTGGAGTGCGATAGAGATTGCATCATCTGTGGATCTGTTGGGGCGGTATGCAAATTGGAGTGGGTCTAGGGTTTCTGGGATTATGCTGTTGATGTGAGCCATGACCAGTCTTTCAAAGCACTTCATGGCTACAGACGTCAGTGCTACGGGTCGGTAGTCATTTAGGCAGGTTATCTTAGAGTTCTTGGGCACGGGGACTATGGTGGTCTGCTTGAAACATGTTGGTATTACAGACTCAGTCAGGGACATGTTGAAAATGTCAGTGAAGACACTTGCCAGTTGGTCAGCACATGCTCGGAGTACACGTCCTGGTAATCCGTCTGGCCCTGCGGCCTTGTGAATGTTGACCTGCTTAAAAGTCTTACTCACATCGGCTACGGAGAGCGTGATCACATAGTCGTCCGGAACAGCTGGTGCTCTCATGCATGCTTCAGTGTTGCTTGCCTCGAAGCGAGCATAGAAGTGGTTTAGCTCGTCTGGTAGGCTTGTGTCACTGGGCAGCTCGCGGCTGTGCTTCCCTTTGTAGTCTGTAATAGTTTTCAAGCCCTGCCACATCCGACGAGCGTCAGAGCCAGTGTAGTATGATTCAATCTTAGACCTGTATTGACTCTTTGCCTGTTTGATGGTTCGTCGGAGGTCATAGCGGGATTTCTTATAAGCGTCCGGGTTAGAGTCCCGTTCCTTGAAAGCGGCAGCTCTACCCTTTAGCTCAGTGCGGATGTTTCCTATAATCCATGGCTTCTGGTTGGGGTATGTACGTACGGTCACTGTGGGGACGACATCATCGATGCACTTATTGATGAAGCCAGTGACTGATGTGGTGTACTCCTCAATGCTGTCTGAAGAATCCCGGAACATGTTCCAGTCTGTGCTAGCAAAACAGTCCTGTAGCTTAGCATCTGCGTCATCTGACCACTTTTTTATTAGCCGAATCACTGGTGCTTCCTGCTTCAGTTTTTGCTTATAAGCAGGAATCAGGAGGATAGAGTTATGGTCAGATTTGCCAAATGGAGGGCGAGGGAGAGCTTTGTATGCGTCTCTGTGTGTGGAGTAAAGGTGGTCTAGAGTTTTTTCCCCTCTGGTTGCACATTTAACATGCTGGTAGAAATGAGGTAGAACGGATTTAAGTTTCCCTGCATTAAAGTCCCCGGCTACTAGGAGCGCTGCATCTGGATGAGCGTTTTCCTGTTGATTAATGGCCTTGTACAACTCATTCAGTGCAATCTTAATACCAGCATTGGTTTGTGGTGGTAAATAGACAGCTATGAAAAATATAGATGAAAACTCTCTTGGTAAATAGTGTGGTCTACAGCTTATCATAAGATACTCTACCTCAGGCGAGCAAAACCTCGAGACTTCCTTAGTATTTGATTGTGTGCACCAGCTGTTGTTTACAAATATACACAGACCGCCGCCCCTTGTCTTACCAGAGTCTGCCGTTCTGTCCTGTCGATGTAGCGTATAGCCTGCTAGCTGAATGTTATCATTGTTGTCGTTCAGCCACGACTCCGTTTGCTTAACAAGTCACGTAATAAGTTGCATGGACTCACTCTGTGTGCAATACGTGTTTAACATTATATATATATATTTTCTTTTTCGCCCCAATTTCGTGATATCCAATTGGTAGTTACAGTCTTGTCCCATCTCTGCAACTCCCGTACGGACTCGGGAGAGGCGAAGGTCGAGAGCCATGCGTCCTCCGAAACACGACCCTGCCAAGCCGCACTGCTTCTTGACACACTGCTCGCTTAACCCAGAAGCCAGCCTCACCAATGTGTCAGAGGAAACACCGTACAACTGCTGACCATGTCAGCGTGCATGCGCCCGGCCCGCCACAAGAGTTGCTAGAGCGCGATGGGACAAGGACATCTCGGCCGGCCAAACCCTCCCCTAACCCGGACGATGCTGGGCCAATTGTGCACCGCCTCATGGGTCTCCCGGTCGCGGCCAGCTGTGACACAGCCCGGGATCGAACCCGGATCTAGTGACGCCTCAACCACCGCAATGCAGTGCCTTAGACCGCTGCGCCACTCGGGAGGCCCTTAACATGATTTTTTAATGACTACGTTATCTCTGTACTCCACACATACAATTATCTGTAAGATCCCTCAGTCGAGCAGTGAATTTCAAACACAGATTCAACCACAAAGACCAGGGAGGCTTTCCAATGCCTTGCAAAAAAAGGGCACCTATTGGGAGATGGGTAATAATTTTAAAAAGCAGACATTGAATATCCCTTTGAGCATGGTGAAGTTATTAATTACACTTTGGATGGTGTATCAATGCACCCCGTCACTACAAAGATATAGGCTTCCTACTAACTCAGTTGCCGGAGAGGAAGGAAACCGCTCAGGGATTTCACCATGAGGCCAATGGTGACTTTAAAACAGTTTCTGAGTTTAATGGCTGTGATAGGAGAAAACTGAGGATAGTTACTCCACAATATTAACCTAATTGACAGAGTGAAAGGAAGGAAGCCTTTACAGAATAAAAATATTCAAAAACATGCATCCTTTTTGCAATAAGGCACTAAAGTAAAACTGTAAAAAATGTAGCAAAGAAATTAACTTTATATCCTGAATACAAAGCGTTATGTTTGGAGCAAATCCAACACAACACATTACTGAGTACCGCTCTTCATATTTTCAAGAATGTTGGTGGCTGCATCCTGTTATGGGTATGCTTGTCATCTGTAAGGACTAGGAGATTTTGGGGGGATAAAAATAAACGGAATAGAGATTAGCACAGGCAAAATCCTAGAGGAAAACCTGGTTCAGTCTGCTTTCCAACAGACACTGGGAGACAAATTCACCTTTCAGCAGGACAATAAAACTCAAGGCCAAATCTACACTGGAGTTGCTTACCAAGACGACATTGAATGTTCCTGAGTGGCCTAGTTACAGTTTTGCCTTAAATCGGCTTGAAAATCTATGGCAAGACTTGAAAATGGCTGTCTAGCAATGATCAACAACCAACTTGACAGAGCTTGAAGAATTTAAAATGAATAATGTGCAAATATTGTAATAATAATAATAATAATATGCCATTTAGTAGACCCTTTTATCCAAAGCGACTTACAGTCATGTGTGCATACATTTATACGTATGGGTGGTCCCGGGGATCGAACCCACTACCCTGGCGTTACAAGCGCCATGCTCTACCAATTGAGCTACAGAGGACCACCAGGTGTCCAGGTGTGCAAAGCTCTTAGAGACTTAGCCAGAAAGACTCACAGCTGCAATCGATGCCAAAGGTGATTCTAACATGTATTGAATACTATATTGAATACTTTATTGAATACTGTATTTCATTTTCAATAAATTTGCTAACATTTCTAAAAACATGTTTTCACTTTGTCATTATGGGGTATTGTGTGTAGATGGGTGAGAGAAATCTATTTTATCAATTTTGAATTCAGCCTGTAACACAACAAAATGTGGAATAAGTCAAGGGGTATGTATTATTTTTTACGCACACACACACAGTATATTCCTCTTTCTACTCTCTCCCTCTCTCTGTGTATCTCTCTCTCTGTCTCTCTTTCTCATCCTAAACCTAAAGAATGGCAATTATGGTGTGGTGTGGCTCACTCTATCCCTCCACCTACCTCCCCCTCTCCAGTGAGCCCAACCTGCTGGTGCGTGCTTGTAACCAGCTGGGTCAGTTTCTGCAGCACAGAGAGACCAACCTGCGCTACCTGGCTCTGGAGAGCATGTGTACCCTGGCCAGCTCGGAGTTCTCCCATGAGGCCGTCAAGACCCACATTGAGACCGTCATCAACGCACTCAAGGTCTGTCTCTGTCAAACACACGCTACACACACACTCACCCTGCTCAGACGGGACACTGCTTTTTTGATTAACATTTTTGTTTTATGCACTTTGATGGATTTTGTAACATTTTATACCTTATCTTTTTCTCTCCAGACTGAGAGGGATGTGAGTGTTCGCCAGAGGGCTGCTGACCTGCTCTACGCCATGTGTGACCGTAGCAACGCCAAGCAGATCGTTGCCGAGATGCTCAGCTACCTGGAGACAGCCGACTACTCCATCAGAGAGGAGATGGTACGCGTCTGCGTGTGTGTATATTGTATGTTTTCCCCCTCTGAATGCCTCTGGGTGTATGCCTGCATGTGTGTCTTTGCGTTTGTGTCTGTGTCAAAGAGTGTGTAACCCAGCGGTTACCAAACTAGGGGTCGCCTGATATGAAAATGGTGTCGCGGGAGAATTTCCAAAATCTTGAAAAGAAATTGAACAGAATTACATTAAAAATATATATATATACAGTGGGGAAAAAAAGTATTTAGTCAGCCACCAATTGTGCAAGTTCTCCCACTTAAAAAGATGAGAGAGGCCTGTAATTTTAAACATAGGTACACGTCAACTATGACAGACAAATTGAGAAAAAAATATCCTGAAAATCACATTGTAGGATTTTTTATGAATTTATTTGCAAATTATGGTGGAAAATAAGTATTTGGTCACCTACAAACAAGCAAGATTTCTGGCTCTCACAGACCTGTAACTTCTTCTTTAAGAGGCTCCTCTGTCCTCCACTCGTTACCTGTATTAATGGCACCTGTTTGAACTTGTTATCAGTATAAAAGACACCTGTCCACAACCTCAAACAGTCACACTCCAAACTCCACTATGGCCAAGACCAAAGAGCTGTCAAAGGACACCAGAAACAAAATTGTAGACCTGCACCAGGCTGGGAAGACTGCATCTGCAATAGGTAAGCAGCTAGGTTTGAAGAAATCAACTGTGGGAGCAATTATTAGGAAATGGAAGACATACAAGACCACTGATAATCTCCCTCGATCTGGGGCTCCACGCAAGATCTCACCCCGTGGGGTCAAAATGATCACAAGAACGGTGAGCAAAAATCCCAGAACCACACGGGGGGACCTAGTGAATGACCTGCAGAGAGCTGGGACAAAAGTAACAAAGCCTACCATCAGTAACACACTACGCCGCCAGGGACTCAAATCCTGCAGTGGCAGACGTGTCCCCCTGCTTAAGCCAGTACATGTCCAGGCCCGTCTGAAGTTTGCTAGAGTGCATTTGGATGATCCAGAAGAGGATTGGGAGAATGTCATATGGTCAGATGACCAAAATAGAACTTTTTGGTAAAAACTCAACTTGTCGTGTTTGGAGGACAAAGAATGCTGAGTTGCATCCAAAGAACACCATACCTACTGTGAAGCATGGGGGTGGAAACATCATGCTTTGGGGCTGTTTTTCTGCAAAGGGACCAGGACGACTGATCCGTGTAAAGGAAAGAATGAATGGGGCCATGTATCGTGAGATTTTGAGTGAAAACCTCCTTCCATCAGCAAGGGCATTGAATATGAAACGTGGCTGGGTCTTTCAGCATGACAATGATCCCAAACACACCGCCCGGGCAACGAAGGAGTGGCTTCGTAAGAAGCATTTCAAGGTCCTGGAGTGGCCTAGCCAGTCTCCAGATCTCAACCCCATAGAAAATCTTTGGAGGGAGTTGAAAGTCTGTATTGCCCAGCGACAGCCCCAAAACATTACTGCTCTAGAGGAGATCTGCATGGAGGAAAGGGCCAAAATACCAGCAACAGTGTGTGAAAACCTTGTGAAGACTTACAGAAAACGTTTGACCTGTGTCATTCCCAACAAAGGGTATATAACAAAGTATTGAGAAACTTTTGTTATTGACCAAATACTTATTTTCCACCATAATTTGCAAATAAATTCATAAAAAATACTACAATGTGATTTTCTGGATTATTTTTTCTCATTTTGTCTGTCATAGTTGACGTGTACCTATGATGAAAATCACAGGCCTCTCTCATCTTTTTAAGTGGGAGAACTTGCACAATTGGTGGCTGACTAAATACTTTTTTCCCCCACTGTATATTGTATCGTCTTTGTATCTCAAAATCATTGTAATGTGGTTAACCTTACAAATCTAAATGAACATTTTTTGAATCTAAAAGATTAAACTAGAGAGCGACCTTAGATCATGGGAAAAGGCAGCACTTGACCGTTGCACTTCAATCATTTCCACTGTGAATGGCTAGGCACGCTACGTTATAAAACCACACACTATTGCAGAGACTGACATACCGGCCGCAATTGATATAGTAAAAACAGTGTGTGGGGAGGCACAGAAACTCACATCAATACCTTTGTCAGATAACACTGTTAAATGAAGAATGTATGCTATTGCTAGCAATCAAGTGGAAACTCTGACTGAACGACTCAAACTCCCCAGTTTATGCTCTCCAAATGGACTTTAGCTGTGAGGGCTGAGATGCCCATGCATTGACCTTTGTTCGCTATACATGTTGTGGGATGCTATTCACAAGGACATCTTTTTCTGTCTCACACTTCCCAAGCATGAAACGGCACAGGGGATGTTCAGTGTGCTGTGTGGCTATATTGACAAAAAACAGATTCCATATGGTATCGAATGGTGGGCTTTTGCACAGATGGGGCTCCATCTATCAGGGAACAGCGGGCAGGCCTCTGCACTCTAGTTATGAATGTGTCTCCCTCTGCCATATGGACACATTGTATGATACACAGAGAGCAGCTGGTGGCAAAAGAGCTGAGCACAGAACTCTGAAATATACTGCAGCAGGTAACTTCGATTTGTAAACTACATCAAACCACATCCAATGCACGCACGCCTGTTCGCAAAACTATGTGGAGATATGTGATCAGAGCATGACAATGTTCTATTTCACACCGAGGCTTGGTGGTTATCGAGGGGGAGTGTTGGAGATAATTTTTTAAGAGAGGAATTGTTGTCATTCACAATGGATGTAAAAAAGAGACAGACTTGGTTGACTTTCTGTGTAATGAAAATAAAATAACAGAAAACAGCATCAGTAAGTGTCTCACACAAGTGCTGACTGCTTACCTCCAATGCTTGGAAGAGCACTTTGAGACGGACCTACATCCCAATCCGTTTGACTGTGATCCTGGCTCAGTTGGTTAGTGAAATTGAACAGCTGATCGAGCTGTCATGTGCTGCAGACAACACATTCACGGGTCACTACGGAGGGGTTTTGGTTCCTGACTCAAAGGGAATACCCTGCGGTCTCCCTCTAAGCATTAATGCCGCGTTCAAAACAACTGGGAACTCGGAAATCTCACACTTCCGACTTCTGTGCGTTCAAGACAACTGGGAATTCGAAAAGAAATCAGCACTGACTGGGAAAAAATTGTTTTGAACTGTCATCCAACTCGGGAATTCGGGACTCTTTCTAGAGCTCTGACTTTCCGACTTAAAGATCACTGACATCGTGATCCGAGTTCCCAGTTGTCTTGAAAGCACCATAAAACTCATGGTAGGCTACCATTTGCCAGCTCATATCTGTGTGAAGCTGGATTCCGTGCTCTCGTCTGCATTAAAACCAAATATCGATCCAGGTTGGATGTGACAGCAGAGATGAGGTGCGCACTGTCGATCACGCCCCTTGACTTTGAGAAGCTCCGACGTGACATGCAACAAGCACATCCATCTCATTAGTGGTGGTGAGATAAGATACATTTTGTCAGACTAATTTGCAATAGACTGCTCCACATTAAAAGTATGTGTTGGTGAGTTGAGAAGACAATCAGAAATACTGTTAGAATGTTTTTCAATTGACTGCCATAGCCCCAAATAAAAAAGTAAACATGGCTGTTATTTAGTTTTTTTTATCGCATGGGTGTGGTCGCAAGAATTTTCAGATATCAAAATAGGGTCGTGGGCCAAAAAAGTTTGGGAACCCCTGGTGTTAACTCTCTGCTCCCTCTCTCCCAGGTGTTGAAGGTGGCCATCCTGGCAGAGAAGTATGCGGTGGACTACTCATGGTATGTGGACACCATCCTTAACCTCATCCGCATTGCTGGGGACTACGTGAGCGAGGAGGTGTGGTACCGCGTCATCCAGATTGTCATCAACCGCGACGACGTGCAGGGCTACGCCGCCAAGACTGTCTTTGAGGTAGGGGTTCCCCAAGCCGGAAACGTCTGGATCCAATGGTGCTCTTTTTGTCTCAGCTTGGAAATTCCTCAATCATATTCCCTGGTTGAGTACATTAGGGTGAAAACGTTTTTAAAACTATTGCAAAGGGAATCAAAAACCTGTGTTTTTTTATAAAGTCCTCCCTGTTTGAGTAATTTGTTTCTGTTTGGTGCCTAATGAACACGTCCCTGAAGACCCATAGCATTTGGCTATCATAAAATCTGTTCAAATAACTTATGTTTTTAACTGTCCCCCTCCGCCCCCTCTCCAGGCGCTGCAGGCCCCAGCCTGTCATGAGAACATGGTGAAGGTGGGGGGGTACATCCTGGGAGAGTTTGGAAACCTCATCGCCGGGGACCCCCGCTCCAGGTGAGTGGTGGCCTCTCCCACACCAGTGACATCATCAACCTGAGACGCACACAAATATGCGGCTCCTTGTTTTCGGATGTATTAATCAGGTTTTTCCTCCCCCTCTTTCTCTCTTTTCTTTTTATGGTTCTACCTTTTTGTCATCCTTCTCTCCATCTTCTTCTCCATTCACATCCTCTCTCCTCTCTTCCCGCTATTATTTTATCTCCATACCGCTCCTCTTTCTCTCTCTCTATTCTCTCTCATCTCTCACTCTCACTCTCCTCCCTCTCTCTCCTCTTTCTCATCCCTGTCTCCAGCCCTCTGGTCCAGTTCAACCTGCTCCACTCTAAGTTCCACCTGTGTTCGGTGCCCACACGTGCCCTGCTGCTCTCCGCCTACATCAAGTTCATCAACCTGTTCCCAGAGACCAAGGCCACCATCCAGGAGGTGCTTCGCTCCGACAGCCAGATCAGGAACTCTGACGTGGAGCTGCAGCAGAGGGCCGTGGAGTACCTCAAGCTCTCCTCCATCGCCAGCACCGATGTCCTGGTGAGGACTTGGGTTTTTGATCTGTAAAAAAAAATACATATATTTGTAGGTGTTCTGACACTTTATTGAGACTGGTTGGAAGGGTGGGCACAGGGATCGAACCCTGGTCTCCAGTGGAGAGTCGTATATGTGACTGTGCCACGGGGTGTTACCACTACACACACAGCTCTTACCTGGCTACCCTTCCACATCGCTCTGACCAACTGACGTTTCTTTTCCACAATGAATCTGGATTTGCCCCTCTCCCCAACAATTTCTAGAATGTGAACCCATTTTTACCGTTCTGATTGGTCCCAGAAACTGATGGGTTGGGCCAGAGCCGGTCTACAAGATGACGTTATCAACTTTGATAATCTGATTGGTTAGATTTCTTAGACTATCCAATCGCTGATGAATTTGTTTTGTACAACGCCCCTCATTTTAAAGCCATACAAACGACTTCTACGGTAGCAGTTTCAGACTCTCTGTGGCGAACAACAGAGCAGAGGAAGAATTTAGTGTGAGGCGTCAGGCTACCACAGCTCTGCACTTGTTTTTGTTATTTTACTGATCTTTCATTGCCTCTTGTTTTCTTTCTTTTCTTCTTTTTTTTACTGCAAAGTATGTTGCCATTTTAAATGCACTTACAGTGCCTTCGTAAAGTATTCATACCCCTTCACTTATTCCACATTTTGTTGTTACAGCCTGAATTAAATAATAATCTCACCCATTTACACACAATACCCCATAATGACAAAGTAAAAACATGTTTTTAGAAATCTTTGCAAATGTATTGAAAATGAAATACAGAAATATCTCATTTACATAAGTATTCACACCCCTGAGTCAATACATGTTAGAATCACCTTTGGCAGCGATTACAGCTGTGAGCCTTTCTGGGTATGTCTCTAAGATATTTGCACTCCTGGATTGTACAATATTTGCCCATTATTCTTTTCAAAATTCTTCAAGCTCTGTCAAATTGGTTGTTGATCATTGCTAGACAGCCATTTTAAAGTATTGTCATAGATTTTCAAGCCGATTTAAGTCAAAACTGTAACTCAGCCACTCAGGAACATTCACTGTCTTCTTGATAAGCAACTCTAGAGTAGATTTGGCCTTGTGTTTTAAGTTATTGTCCTGCTGAAAGGTGAATTCATCTCCCCCAGTGTCTGGTGGAAATCAGACTGAAACAAGTTTTTCTCTTGAATTTTGCCTGTGCTTAGCTCCATTCCATTATTTTTATCCTGAAAAACTCTGCAGTCCTTAACGATTACAAGCATACCCATAACATGATGCAGCCACCACTATGCTTGAAAATATGGAGAGTGGAACTCAGTAATGTGTTGTATTGGATTTGCCCCAAACATAACACTTTGTATTCAGTATAAAAAGTGCATTTTTTGCAGTATTATTTTAGTGCCTTGTTGCAAACAGAATGCATGTATTTAATGTCTGCTTTTTATTTTTTACCCATCTACCAATAGCTGCCCTTCTTTGCGAGGAATTGGAAAACCTCCCTGGTCTTTGTGGTTGAATTTGTGTTTGAAATTCACTGCTTGACAGAGGGACCTTACAGATAATTGCATGTGTGGGGTACAGAGATGAGGTAGTCATTCAAAAATCATGTTAAACACAATTATTGTCCATGCAACATATTATGTGACTTGTTAAGCACATTTTTACTCCTGAACTTATTTAGGCTTGCCATAACAAAGGGTATGAATACTTGACTCAAGATATTTCAGCTTTTCACTTCTAATACATTTTTTAAAAATGTTGCTGTAACACAACAAAATGTGGAAAAAGTCAAGGGTTATGAATACTTTTCTGAAGGCACTGTAGAATACATTTTGATTTGATTGCAGGCCACAGAGCAGCAACAACATAACCTTGCAGTGTTCAGCTGCGGTTCAGTGTTTCAAATGTGAACCTAAACCATTGTCATGGACGTTGCTATACGGTCACAGGCCTGACAGGATTTGTAAATAGTCATAACTGTAACCCCAGTGACTGGTTTAGTCACATTGCCATAACAGTAACCACATAACAACAGCTACCATGAGCCTTGTTTATTGACTTGCCTGGTCAAAGAATGGTGTCTTTCTGGCTCTCCTTCCCCCTCTCTCTCCCTTTCTCTCCCTCCTTCCCCTCTTCCTCTCCCTCCTTCCGCCTCTTCAGGCCACTGTGCTGGAGGAGATGCCTCCCTTCCCAGAGAGGGAGTCGTCCATCTTGGCCAAGCTGAAGAAGAAGAAGGGTCCAGGTGCTGTGTCGGTAGAGCTGGAGGACGGCAAGGAGAGAGGAGAGCTCAATGGTGGAGGGGACAGGGGGGGCGACGCTGCCATCGCAGCCTCTAACGCTGTGAGCATCCAATTCAATATACTGTATCTGCATACCAAATGGCACCTATTACCTACAAAAGAAGTGCATTAACCCCCAGAGTCGATGTCCGCACACCTGTGGAAATCGAATTAGCATAAACAAATGTTTTTGCATGGGGTGTGTCTCAATCCATTGCATCCGTCAATGGCGGCCTTCTGCAGTCAAAGGTGGCCAAGTTACTGCGGTGTTTGTCAGACCATGAGACATCCAGAAAATCGGTCTTCTCACGAAAACCTCTGTAGCGTCTGAACCACTCTATGGAAAGATGAGACTCAAGAACACGATGGTGTTCTCCGTTTTGCTCTGATGTCGGTATTGCCGATCTGCCAACTTCTGTCTGTAGTGCCCAAACAGTTTGGGACTGCACACTAATATGAGACTCTCACGAACACATACATGTTGGTTGTTTTGCTCTAGGATGCCCACAAGCCTCACAAGACTCGTCTGAAGGTAGCCCGTTACCAGTTTAAAAAATGAATGGAAGTAAATATGGAAGTAGTTTAGTGGCAAAATAAATTGGTTAAATAATTTCCTGATCTTTCTTATACACTATTTATACAAAAGTAATACAGTAATGGTTTGTCGAGATCGTTGTGGAAGAACTTGACTGGCCTGCACAGAGCCCTGAGCTCAACCCCATCGAACACCTTTGAGATGAATTGGAACACCGACTGCGAGCCAGGCCTAATCGCCCAACATCAGTGCCCGACCTCACTAAGTCCTCGCAGCAATGTTCCAACATCTAGTGGAAAGCCTTCCCAGAAGAGTGGAGGCTGTTATAGCAGCAAAGGGGGGGGGCCAACTCCATATTAATGCCCATGATTTTGGAATGAGATATTCGACAAGCAGGTGTCCACATACTTTTGGTCGCGTAGTGTATCTCTCAGATATAGGACAGACATTTTAAAACAAACTTCCTTTTGATATCTTTTTTTTTCCATGTATGAATCTGTTATTCAATGCGTTTCTATGGGCTAATAGCAGTAAGGCCAAATTCAATGTTTTTTTTTTTTTATGTATACCTAAAGGGGACCTAAAATTCAAAATCCAATAGCTAAATGATCCTTGGTATGACCATCTTAATAGATAGCTTAGTAGACCCTCCCGCCCTTGTCATCTTTGTTGTTCTACGAAGGGGAAATTAGTTTGTAACAATTTCAAGACACAGCACAATGACATAAATCACTTGTATTCGAAAACCGGTGGCAGTTGAAAGAGATGGTGAACGCTTTGGAAAAAACACAATCACTGTCTGTGTATTGGATTTAGTTTAATATTCTCAAAACGCTGCTATTATTATACAATTGTTTTCTCTCTCGCTCCCTCTGTTCTCTCTCTCTCTGTTCTCTCCCACCCTCTGTTCTCTGTCCATCTTTCTCTGTCTTCCAGTCCACCCCCTCCCCTTCAGCGGATCTGCTTGGCCTTCGTTCGGCCGCTCCCGTTAGTGGGGCCGCTCCCAGTGCAGGCAGCCTATTGGTTGATGTGTTTTCAGAGGCGGGGCCTGCTGCCTCCTCTGCCGGTGTGAACGACGACGGCTTCCTGAGGTGAATGTTCACCCTGTGACTAGAAGACTCCCATAGACACAGATCTGGGATCAGCCTAAATTACCCCCCCCCCCCCCCCGCCCTCCAAGCCTACCCTTAGAAATTCAAAACTGACCTAAGATCAGTGTCTAGTAGCAACTTGATGTTGTTTGTGGTGTGGTTGTTGTGTCTTAGTTGTCCAGATGCACTGTGGTAGAATATGAAGCTAGCTCTTGAAAATTAGCGTTGTTGTTTTAATTCTTATGACGCTTGCTGTCTGTGATATGTGCTGGTCATCTGTTTTTCTATCAGTCAGTCTTCTTGTTTCCTCTGCGTCTTCTATGTGTAATCTTGTCTGTTCTCTTTTTATCTTGCTGTCTATGTGACTGTCTTTCTCTTTTCTTACTTTCTCTCCTTCCCCTTTTCTATTTCCCTTTCTCTGTGTTTTTGGTGTGTGTGTGTGCGTGCTTGTCTGGCAATGTGCGTGCTTGTGTGTCTCTTGTCCTTGATTGTGATTGGACATTGGCAGCGCTCTTCACGCTCCCGAGGCCTCTGACTCCCCATTGGTGGAGGGTCCTGGTGACTCGGAGTAAGGGGCCAGTAATAAGATGGCTGACTGTCATGTTGCACCCAAACACACACGAACACTGTTGTTCTTATCTAAACTAAAGCCATTTAGGGAGGCTGCATGGACATCTCAACGTTAGACTAGTCACATGGACACACACCCTCTATTGCATGTGGGTTGTTGGAATATGGAATTGTAGCCTACCTATGCTGTATATTTCTTCATATATACAGTGAGGGAAAAAAGTATTTGATCCCCTGCTGATTTTGTACGTTTGCCCACTGACAAAGATATGATCAGTCTATAATTTTAATGGTAGGTTTATTTGGACAGTGAGAGACAGAATAACAACAAAAAAAATCCAGAAAAAACGCATGTCAAAAATGTTATAAATTGATTTGCATTTTAATGAGGTAAATAAGTATTTGACCCCTCTGCAAAACCCTTGTTGGCAATCACAGAGGTCAGACGTTTCTTGTAGTTGGCCACCAGGTTTGCACACATCTCAGGAGGGATTTTGTCCCACTCCTCTTTGCAGATCTTCTCCAAGTCATTAAGGTTTCGAGGCTGACGTTTGGCAACTCGAACCTTCAGCTCCCTCCACAGATTTTCTATGGGATTAAGGTCTGGAGACTGGATAGGCCACTCCAGGACCTTAATGTGCTTCTTCTTGAGCCACTCCTTTGTTGCCTTGGCCGTGTGTTTTGGGTCATTGTCATGCTGGAATACCCATCCACGACCCATTTTCAATGCCCTGGCTGAGGGAAGGAGGTTCTCACCCAAGATTTGACGGTACATGGCCCTGTCCAGCGTCCCTTTGATGCGGTGAAGTTATCCTGTCCCCTTAGCAGAAAAACACCCCCAAAGCATAATGTTTCCACCTCCATGTTTGACGGTGGGGATGGTGTTCTTGGGGTCATAGGCAGCATTCCTCCTCCTCCAAACACGGCGAGTTGAGTTGATGCCAAAGAGATTTTGGTCTCATCTGACCACAACACTTTCACCCAGTTCTCCTCTGAATCATTCAGATGTTCATTGGCAAACTTCAGACGGGCATGTATATGTGCGGACCTTGCGGGCGCTGCAGGATTTCAGTCCTTCACGGCGTAGTGTGTTACCAATTGTTTTCTGGGTGACTATGGTCCCAGCTGCCTTCAGATAATTGACAAGATCCTCCCGTGTAGTTCTGGGCTGATTCCTCACCGTGCTCATGATCATTGCAACTCCACGAGGTGAGATCTTGCATGGAGCCCCAGGCCGAGGGAGATTGACAGTTCTTTTGTGTTTCTTCCATTTGCGAATAATCGCACCAACTGTTGTCACCTTCTCACCAAGCTGCTTGGCGATGGTCTTGTAGCCCATTCCAGCCTTGTGTAGGTCTACAATCTTGTCCCTGACATCCTTGGAGAGCGCTTTGGTCTTGGCCATGGTGGAGAGTTTGGAATCTGATTGATTGATTGCTTCTGTGGACAGGTGTCTTTTATACAGGTAACAAGCTGAGATTATGAGCACTCCCTTTAAGAGTGTGCTCCTAATCTCAGCTCGTTACCTGTATAAAAGACACCTGGGAGCCAGAAATCTTTCTGATTGAGAGGGGGTCAAATACCTATTTCCCTCATTAAAATGCAAATCAATTTATAACATTTGTTACATGTGTTTTTCTGGATTTTTTTGTTGTTTTTCTGTCTCTCACTGTTCAAATAAACCTACCATTGAAATTATAGACTGATCATATCTTTGTCAGTGGGCATACGTACAAAATCAGCAGGGGATCAAATACTTTTTTCCCTCACTGTACATGTACCACACTTTTTTTTTTTTTTACCAGCAAAATATTTCTCATTATTTTTGTTAATGTTAATGCTGTCAGTTTTGGTGAATTGGATCTAAGTGCTCATACTAACCCACCTCTGCTTTTTCTCTTGTTCTCCTTCCTCCATTTTGTTTGTCATGCATCACTGCTTTGGGTCTTCCTCAACACACTCATCCTCTCTCTCTCCCTCCCTCTCTCTCTCTCCCTTTTAATATCTGTAATTCATTTGGTCCCCTTCAAACACATTTTACATTCTCTCACACCCCCCCTGCCTTTTCTGTTGGTGCTGTCATCCACCTCTTCTTATCCATCCTTGCTTCATCCCTCCTTCCTTCTCTCAGCTCTGCTCCCCCTTCTGCGGCCTCTGAGGATCCTGCCCCTCCTCTGCCCGAGTCAGACGAGCTTCTCAACAAGTAAGAGCTTTCTCTCGCTCCTCCACCTCTCTCCCTTTCCATCTTTCTCTCTCCCGATCTCTCTCTTTCCGGCGGGGCTAGCTTGTTTTTGGTGCTATCACTCTTGAGCAAAGGTATCTAACAACCTACTGGATTGACACAAAACATAAACTGTGTAGATGTCAATGACATCTGTTATGTTAGGTCATTCACGTGTGGTAAGATACATCTATATGTTTGCTTGCAAAGTGAATTGATATTGGGATAGGATGGCATAACTGAAGAGTTACAGTAACTTATAGGTGATGTATGTACCACCGCATGTTTTGAGATGTTATAAACAGTTAATGATAAATGATGATAAATCCTAACACTTTCATTCTCCCTCCCTCCCGCACTAACTTTCTCCCTCTCTCTCTCCTGTCAGATTTGTGTGTAAGAACAACGGTGTGTTGTTTGAGAACCAGCTGCTTCAGATCGGGATCAAGTCTGAGTACCGCCAGAACCTGGGTGAGTTTGGGCTACTAGACAATGCGGGGAGATGCTTGAATCCTAAGTCACATTTGTCACATTGATGTGAGTTCTGGGAGATTGTGTGGGTCTCAAGTTAGGATTCTTCTCTTGAAGTATTAAACATTTTCTTGCAGGTAAGTCCCATGTGAAATACATTAGCCTATATGCTGTAACCTTATTGAACTGATGTCTGTACTGTTCTATAGCTTTGGTAAGTACGTCTGAGCGTGCACAGAATTTAATAGATGGCGTCATTTAGTATTTGTGTTCACATCCTAGCTTTGTCATCTCCATTTTAGTATACAGAATGTTTTATTCAGTGGTTAGGTATGCTTCAGTTTCTATAATGCATTAGATGCTAGGTGAGTGAGCATAATGCATAACTTGGCTGCTGAATGGGTGTATTTGCACGTGTGTGTGTGTGTGTGTATACAGTGGGGAGAACAAGTATTTGATACACTGCCGATTTTGCAGGTTTTCCTACTTACAAAGCATGTAGAGGTCTGTAATTCTTAACATAGGTACACTTCAACTGTGAGAGACGGAATCTAAAACAAAAATCCAGAAAATCACATTGTATGATTTTAAAGTAATTAATTTGCATTTATTGCATGACATAAGTATTTGATCACCTACCAACCAGTAAGAATTCCGGCTCTCACAGACCTGTTAGTTTTTCTTTAAGAAGCCCTCCTGTTCTCCACGCATTACCTGTATTAACTGCACCTGTTTGAACTCGTTACCTGTATAAAAGACACCTGTCCACACACTCAATCAAACAGACTCCAACCTCTCCACAATGGCCAAGACCAGAGAGCTGTGTAAGGACATCAGGGATAAAATTGTAGACCTGCACAAGGCTGGGATGGGCTACAGGACAATAGGCAAGCAGCTTGGTGAGAAGGCAACAACTGTTGGCGCAATTATTAGAAAATGGAAGAAGTTCAAGATGACGGGACCACAGTCTCAAAGAAAACCATTAGTAACACACTACGCCGTCATGGATTAAAATCCTGCAGCGCACGCAAGGTCCCCCTGCTCAAGCCAGCGCATGTCCAGGCCCGTCTGAAGTTTGCCAATGACCATCTGGATGATCCAGAGGAGGAATGGGAGAAGGTCATGTGGTCTGATGAGACATAAATAGAGCTTTTTGGACTAAACTCCACTCGCCATGTTTGGAGGAAGAAGAAGGATGAGTACAACCCCAAGAACATGGAGGTGGAAACGTCATTCTTTGGGGATGCTTTTCTGCAAAGGGGACAGAACGACTGCACCGTATTGAGGGGAGGATGGATGGGGCCATGTATCGCGAGATCTTGGCCAACAACCTCCTTCCCTCAGTAAGAGCATTGAAGATGGGTCGTGGCTGGGTCTTCCAGCATGACAAAGACCCGAAAAACACACAGCCAGGGCAACTAAGGAGTGGCTCCGTAAGAAGCATCTCAAGGTCCTGGAGTGGCCTAGCCAGTCTCCAGACCTGAACCCAATAGAAATATTTGGAGGGAGCTGAAAGTCTGTATTGCCCAGCGACAGCCCCGAAACCTGAAGGATCTGGAGAAAGTCTGTATGGAGGAGTGGCCCAAAATCCCTGCTGCAGTGTGTGCAAACCTGGTCAAGACCTACAGGAAACGTATGATCTCTGTAATTGCAAACAAAGGTTTCTGTACCAAATATTAAGTTCTGCTTTTCTGATGTATCAAATACTTATGTCATGCAATAAAATGCAAATTAATTACTTTAAAATCATACAATGTGATTTTCTGGATTTTTGTTTTAGATTCCGTCTCTCACAGTTGAAGTGTACTACCTATGATAAAAATTACAGACCTCTACATGCTTTGTAAGTAGGAAAACCTGCAAAATCGGCAGTGTATCAAATACTTGTTCTCCCCACTGTATATACAGTTGAAGTCGGAAGTTTACATCCACTTAGGTTGGAGTCATTAAAACTAGTTTTTCAACCACTCCGCAAATGTCTTGTTAACAAACTATAGTTTTGGCAAGTCGGTTAGGACATCTACTTTGTGCATGACACAAGTAATTTTTCCAACAATTGTTTAGACAGATTATTTCACTTATAATTCACTGTATCACAATTCCAGTGGGTCAGAAGTTGACATACACTAAGTTGACTGTGCCTTTAAACAGCTTGGAAAATTCCAGAAAATGATGTCATGGCTTTAGAAGCTTCTGATAGGCTAAAAGGGGGTAGCTTGCAAGCCGAAGAACACCATCCCAACCGTGAAGCACGGGGTGCTTTGCTGCAGTAGGGACTGGTGCACTTCACAAAATAGATGGCATCATGAGGAAGGAAAATTATGTGGATATATTGAAGCAACATCTCAAGACATCAGTCAGGAAGTTAAAGCTTGGTCGCAAATGGGTCTTCCAAATGGACAATGACCCCAAGCATACTTCCAAAGTTGTGGCAAAATGGCTTAAGGACAACAAAGTCAAGGTATTGGAGTGGCCATCACAAAACCCTGACCTCAATCCTATAGAAAATGTGTGGGCAGAACTGAAAAAGCGTGTGCGAGCAAGGAGGCCTACAAACCTGACTCAGTTACACCAGCTCTGTCAGGAGGAATGGGCAAAAATTCACCCAACTTATTGTGGGAAGCTTGTGGAAGGCTACCTGAAACATTTGACCGAAGTTAAACAATTGAAAGGCAATGCTACCAAATACTAATTGAGTGTATGTAAACTTCTGACCCACTGGGAATGTGATGAAAGAAATAAAAGCTGAAAGAAATCATTCTCTACTATTATTCTGACATTTCACATTCTTAAAATAAAGTGGTGATCCTAACTGAGCTAAGACAGGGAATTCTTACTAGGATTAAATGTCAGGAATTGTGAAAAACTGAGTTTAAATGTATTTGGCTAAGGTCTGTGTAAACTACCTACTTCAACTGTAGCCTATTGTGCTTTTACTGATGGCATGGGTAAGTTACCGACTGTATCCGTATCCATACACATTGTACTCTATGTATGAAGAATTATTAATTATAATGCATTATAAACGGGAATGAGTTGGTGTGTAATGCTGCATTATAGCCTGAAATAAGGGAGTATACATAACAATACGTAATGTATTATAACATGTATGTGTTCTTTTGGAAATGTCACCTAAATGTGTCCACTTGACATATCTTCTAACGTGTGTGTGTGTGTGTGTGTGTTTTTGTTTGTTTTTCTAGGGAGGATGTATCTGTTCTATGGCAATAAGACCTCGGTGCAGTTTGTCAGCTTTAGCACCACAGTCAGCTGCCCAGGGGAGCTGCAGTCTCATATCCTTCAATGCATTCACTTACTGTTTACGCACGCACGCACGCCCACACACACACACACACCCCTATCTTGCACACTATGTGTTAGTGTTGTCACGATAGCAGAGTTTTGACTTCTATATTTATACCAGGTTTAGTATCACAATACGCAATACCATCACGATACTCGATATCAAAACGATGCCAAAATGATACCACAGCAAAAAAAGAAGGAATATTAGCCAAAGTCACAAAATGGCAGTTGATCCAGACAGATAAACTCTGCTACTGCTCTGTTCAGTCTTTGGGCATTTTTTATGTTCAATATCATTACATTTATTTTTTTTACGTCAATTTTTCTGGGACAGTAATGTATGTATTAAAGGGGAATGGAAACAATAGGCTTTAGAACACCAGCTAACTGTAACTGTAAATCGGCATATTGGCATTTTGTTGCATCACTGGCAGGAATTCCTTGAATTTACTGAGACTATGACCTATGCGTGCATTAATAAGCATAATTTGCTGGTGTCAAACCATATATGAAAACATGATACACAATTTTAAACCTGAGAAACAGCCCTTTCAAATTTTATGACATACAATAGCACCACACCAATCAAATGGTAAGTCAAGGAAAAACACCTGTGACATTGATGAAAATCTGTTTTTTTCCCCCCCAAACAACTGCCATTTACACAACTTCCTCATGAAGATGGAGAAAAACGTATGAGTCTTCCTTATTTTGCAAGCTTTGAAAATCAGAATAGTAATTCATACCTTTTACTTTGAATGAGTTATAGCTGTTTTAGTGAACAGTGATATTTTTCTAGAATTCAATGTGGTCAGACCCTTTCTTATCTGGATAGTATATTAAACACATATTTCAAAATATGATAAGAATAAGGTATATAATGACAATAATTGGCTCTTATAACTTCAATTTCTTCTTACATACATTGCACTAGGCCTATAGCCTAATACACAAAGAGTTAGAATAGGAACAAATTAAAAGCATGCAAGAAAGGCGCAATGACCAGTGACTTTAATAGTGACCATGTCCGCAATTAATCACACTGACTGGAGTGCCACAACCTGAAACACATTTTTTTTAAGGGTTAGGCTTCAGGCTTAGGCTACATTAATTCTTGCAATCAACAGCCAGCAGGCTTAGCTACTAATTTTAGGAATTAAATCTGGCTATTTAGTTAGTTAGCTAGCTAGCTAATAATTATAGCTATGGGGATTGGGGTTCATACCTAGCTAGCTAGCTACATTTTTACTGGAAAAAACAATCCTGCAGCAGCCCTCTCTGGCTGGCTGGCTGGCTAGCTAGCTAGCTACATATTGAATGACACTAGCCAGTTTGTTTTAGCTCAAAATACTTATATTGACAAATGCTCTTCAAATTGTCAATATTAACATTTTATTTTTTACAGCTATCAAATAAAACATTAACATTAAAAGACAAGAGAATAGCTAAATCAGTTTCTTACCTTAATGTGAGCAATAGTGGATAAAGTACCCAATTGTCATACTTGAGTAAAAGTAAAGATCCCTTAATAGAAAATGACTCAAGTGAATGTCACCCAGTGAAATACTACTTGAGTAAAAGTCAAATAATTTGGTTTTAAATATACTTAAGTATCAAAAGTAAAGTATAAATCATTATAAATGTCTTTATATTAAGCAAATGGTTCCATTTTCTTGTTTTTCATTTACGAATAGCCAGGGGCACATTCCAACAATCAGACATAATTTACAAATGAAGCATTTGTCTTTAGTGAGTCCGCCAGATCAGAGACAGTAGGGATGACTAGTGATATTCTCTTGATAAGTATGTGAATTGGACAATTTTCCTTTCCTGCTAAGCATTCAAAATGTAATGAGTACTTTTGGGTGTCAGGAAAAATGTATGGTGTAAAATGTAAATTATTGTCTTTAAGAATGTAGTGAAGTAAAAGTTGTCAAAAATAGAAATAGTAAAGTACAGATACCCAAAAAAAACTACTTAAGAAGTACTTTAAAGTATTTTTACTTAAGTACTTTACACCACTGAATGTGAGAAACCTTTGTGGTCCAGTGGAAGTGAGGCGCCTCCCTTCACATGCCAAAACTCACAATTTGCTAAATCCTGTCAATGACGCATAGGCTTCAGTCGTTACTATGGCAATTCAAGATGGCCTACCTAGGGCTGTTAAATTGACCGTATTACCACCACACCGGTGGTCATGAGTATGACGGCAGTCAAATTCCATGTTACTGTTAAGTCACGGTAATTAGGCTTCTCCAAGCTCTGATGCTGCTGATGGTCATTAGTAGCCTACCTAACTTGCTAACTGCCTGGTACTCAGCACTCTATTGTCCCTCTAATCACTCTGACATCAATGCAAATGTGATCCAAAATGTAATCAAACATTCATTAGAGCCCATGAGCTCATGTTGTGCAACATTTCTAAAGGCTATGCAATTGCGTGAGAAAACAGAGTGATGGCCTCTTAAAAAGAGGAGGATCCCATCAGCTTTGTATAGGCTAGACCTATATTTATTTCTCAATTTTCCTAATATTAAGCGCATTACTTCTCTTTACAACAGGAGTATAGCCTACCTGGCTGGCATGAAAATGAACCACGGAAAAAGCGTCCTCCATTCGCTATTCAAGTATTTTTTTCCCGCTGCACCTGTTTCGAGACAGGTGCATGATAATGGTCCATTCTAAATCAAAACAAATTTCACACATATTATTTAATATATGTAAAGGCAAGATTAAATCAAGAATAGTGTGATGGGATGACAATATTAGCCTATCACTTGTGAATTATATATTATCACTTGTGAATGATGCCCAGCTGTTGTGCATGCTTTGTTTTGGCGTCTTTTTCCAAATCATAGTCGCACACCTCATGTAGCCTAGCCCATAGGCCTATATGTTTTGATAAGGTTTGTATCACAACTAAAGTGGCCAAATAACTTCTTAAAATGAAGCACATTAATCCTGCATTACAACAGGTGTAGAGCCTAACTGCCATACATACGCAGCGCGTGAGTTTCATGTTTGGGGAAGATCATTTCCACCATAAAAATGCACCTTTATAATAAAAGTATTACATGCATAATTGCATTTGTGGTCACTTTTGAGAATGGTGTTTTCCTGCTAATGGAACATTCACGCTTATAGCCTACTGCTGTGTGCGCATTGCTGCGCTTATAATGTGAAGAAATAGCCTAATAGTTTATGAACATTTTAAGCTAAATGTTCTCATCTGTTGCGTCAGGGTCATTGCTTAAAACAGGTTTTTTGATGCTCGTGGTTGTATTAATTTGGGATCTATCGCATCCCACAACTGTCCCAGACTATGTTTGGAATATTTATTTCTCGCACAAAATAGAATAGGTCAACTTTTGTACTATGGGAGATAGTAGATGGACATACGCTAGTGCTTTTGCTGTTCGTTAGGCCTACTCATCTTGTTGGCTGACGAAAAGTAAATGTGGACAGTTCTTCCAATATCTTCAATATGCACCTCGGAATTGGATAAGGAGGCGTGCAGTTGCGTCCCCGATGTGTCGGTCTTCACTTGTAGCCTGTGAGAAAGACCCGATCACGTGAAGGAGAGCCATGTGAGTGAGAGGTGCTTTGGGAACGCAGCCAGGAGAACGGAATTATAATTATTATATTCAGCCCAAGGGCACAACGGCCACAGGTCGCAAAAGGCATGGATTTGTTTAGGGGGGATTACAGCCACACAAATGAGATGCAGCCGGGAAATTCAAGGCATTATCAAGTGCTTGTCAAATTGTGAATGAGAGACTAATGAAGTGTCTACAGCCTGCGCAAAAAAACAAAGCAGAGCTCATGCCTTTCATGCAACCTTTTTCAAATCATCATTAGTCGCATCATGTAGCCTTAGAATGTATTAAAAATCAAAACATACATTTGTATCACAACTAAAGTTACATAAATAACTCAAAATTAAGCATATAGGAGTACCTGTTTCTTTGTTAACCGCTCAACACAGAATAGCTGCATGTGCGCACTCCCTCAAATCCTTTGGAGAAAATATATTTTCTATTTTATTCAGCTACAGTGGGGAGAACAAGTATTTGATACACTGCCGATTTTGCAGGTTTTCCTACTTACAAAGCATGTAGAGGTCTGTAATTTTTATCATAGGTACACTTCAACTGTGAGAGACGGAATCTAAAACAAAAATCCAGGAAATCACATTGTATGATTTTTAAGTAATTCATTTGCATTTTATTGCATGACATAAATATTTGATACATCAGAAAAGCAGAACTTAATATTTGGTACAGAAACCTTTGTTTGCAATTACAGTACTCATCCTTCTTCCTCCAAACACGGCGAGTGGAGTTTAGACCAAAAAGCTCTATTTTTGTCTCATCAGACCACATGACCTTCTCCCATTCCTCCTCTGGATCATCCAGATGGTCATTGGCAAACTTCAGACGGGCCTGGACATGCGCTGGCTTGAGCAGGGGGACCTTGCGTGCGCTGCAGGATTTTAATCCATGACGGCGTAGTGTTACTAATGGTTTTCTTTGAGACTGTGGTCCCAGCTCTCTTCAGGTCATTGACCAGGTCCTTCCGTGTAGTTCTGGGCTGATCCCTCACCTTCCTCATGATCATTGATGCCCCACGAGGTGAGATCTTGCATGGAGCCCCAGACCGAGGGTGATTGACCGTCATCTTGAACTTCTTCCATTTTCTAATAATTGCGCCAACAGTTGTTGCCTTCTCACCAAGCTGCTTGCCTATTGTCCTGTAGTCCATCCCAGCCTTGTGCAGGTCTACAATTGTATCCCTGATGTCCTTACACAGCTCTCTGGTATTGGCCATTGTGGAGAGGTTGGAGTCTGTTTGATTGAGTGTGTGGACAGGTGTCTTTTATACAGGTAACGAGTTCAAACAGGTGCAGTTAATACAGGTAATGAGTGGAGAACAGGAGGGCTTCTTAAAGAAAAACTAACAGGTCTGTGAGAGCCGGAATTCTTACTGGTTGGTAGGTGATCAAAACTTATGTCATGCAATAAAATGCAAATGAATTACTTAAAAATCATACAATGGGATTTTCTGGATTTTTGTTTTAGATTTCGTCTCTCACAGTTGAAGTGTACCTATGATAAAAATGACAGACCTCTACATGCTTTGTAAGTAGGAAAACCTGCAAAATCGGCAGTGTATCAAATACTTGTTCTCCCCACTGTATGTTCAGTTGTATTCTTCATACTATAAAATAATGCCATGGAATTCTAAGCAAATCTTGTCTGCCAAATGAACTAGCGTAACCCACAGCCATATGGCATAGCCATATCAGAACCTAACATAAGGACAACTCAGAGTATGCTATTCTGTTCTTCTGAAATAGACTACATTTTCTTCATATCATGTTTCTTTAGACCTGTCTAAAATAAATAATGGACTTATTGTGATGGTGTAGGCTATATTATATGGATTTTGTAGACTTTTTAAAATGTAGATGTTCCAAAGGTCTGCATCAGTGGCTTGTAGGCTATGCGTGGATGCTAAATGTGTTTTCTGTTAATTAACGGTAAATTACCATGAGACCGGCTGTTATTTGCTTGACAATCACCGGCTGACAAAATGTCATGACCGCCACAGCCCTAGGCCTACCCATACCTCTAATAAACGTTGTTCAAGATCAAAATCCTAAAAATAGAGATGTTTCTATGTTAAATGCAGATGTTTAATATTAGGGGATCTCTTTGATTCGTTTTACTAAGTGTTTTCATTCCCCTTTAATGAATCAATTACACAATCATACAATACATTTGACTTTGCTTTTACCAATCTAACTACATATCAACATAATGGTAATAATTTTTTTGAATGGTAAATCTCTATTGATAAATTGGGTAAATCATGATGTAGCCTAGGCCTATCCACAATACAGGTGAATGCATATTCAATATGAGTGTGTGCATGCATTGAGTTGTTGAGCTTGTTTTGGTTGATTTCATGGGGCTACAGTTGATATAAAATATGTTTCCCTTAATTATTTTATTGTACTGATCAACAACATTTGCGTAGAAGTAGCGCACATTTCCATAAAATAAGCTGTCTCTTTAACCAGTAAAGTAACAAATTCTAGTACTGAACCGTTTTTCATGTTCTAGTATCGAAGTTTCGGTATACCGTGCAACACTACTGTGTGTGTCCCTTGGGTTGTAGGCTATACTTGCATGTATTTAACATGCATAGCTATATTCAATATACAGTCCCCCCGGTGTGGTCTCTTGTCCCGGCTCTGTTCCTCTCCTTGACTGGCTTTCCCACAGCTCAATGTGCAGACCAAAACAGTGGAACCCCTAGTGGAGGGAGGAGCACAGGTGCAGCAGGTCATCAACATTGAGTGTCTGACCGACTTCATTGACGCTCCGCTGCTCAACATCAAGTTCAGGTACACGCGCGTGTACGCACACAGAATATTACACAGAACATACAATACAAACACCTAGCAATCACGCATGCAAGATCAGTAGTATCCCAAACATACACACACATTTTGTTTTGTCGTCTTCAGTATATAAAGTGTGTGTGTTCCTCTCAGGTATGGGGGAGCCCTGCAGAACATCTCTCTCAAGCTGCCTGTCACCATCAACAAGTTCTTCCAACCCACAGAGATGGCCGCCGCAGACTTCTTCCAGCGCTGGAAACAACTCAGCCAGTGAGTGAGAGTGTGTGTAGGGGTGTGTGTGTGTGAGAGTGTGTCTAGGGTGAGCATGTAAGAGGGTGCGTGTGTGTATTTATGACTGTTTTCTTCTCTTTTCAGGCCCCAGCAAGAAGCACAAAAGATCTTCAAGGCCAGCCATGGCATGGACACAGAAGTGCTCAAGGCCAAGGTACACACACACACACTGTACGCATATTCATATAATTCCCTTGCCTGCTGTATGTCTACCACATCTTACTCCCTCCCATTTTGTCTCTCTCTCTCCCCCCCCCCTCCCTCGTCTCTAGTTGCTGGGCCTGGGGACAGCCCTGTTGGAGAATGTGGATCCTAACCCAGAGAACTATGTGTGTGCCGGAGTCATCCAGACCAAGGCCCAACAGGTCGGCTGCTTGCTGAGACTGGAACCCAATGCGCAGGCCCAGGTACACACACACACGCACACACATACACACACACATGTACATGCATATACACACACACACACAAATGTACAGTACCTGTCAAAAGTTTGAAGACATCAAAACTATGAAATAACACATACGGAATCATGTAGTAACCAAAAAATATATTTTATATTTGAGATTCTTCAAAGTAGCCACCCTTTGCCTTGATGACAGCTTTGCACACTATTGGCATTCTCTCAACCAGATTCATGAGGTAGTCACCTGGAATGCATTTCAATTAACAGGTGTGCCTTCTTAAAAGTTAATTTGTGGAATTTCTTTCCTCCTTAAGGCGTTTGAGCCAATCAGTTTTTTTGTGACAAGGTGGGTGGGGGTGGGGGGGTATACAGAAGATAGCCCTATTTGGTAAAAGACAAAGTCCATATTATGGCAAGAACAGCTCAAATAATCAAAGAGAAACGACAGTCTATCATTACTTTAAGACATGAAGGTCAGTCAATCCGGAAAATTTAAAGAACTTTGAAAGTTTCTTCAAGTGCAGTCACAAAAACCATGAAGCGCTATGATGAAACTGGCTCTCATGAGGACCGCCACAGGAAAGGAAGATCCAGAGTTACTTCTGCTGCAGAGGATAAGTTCATTAGAGTTACCAGCCTCAGAAATTGCAGCCGAAATAAGTGCTTCACAGAGTTCAAGTAACAGACACATCTCAACATCAACTGTTCAGAGGAGACTGCGTGAATCAGGCCTTCACGGTTGAATTGCTGCAAAGAAACCACTACTAAAGGACACCAATAAGAAGAAGAGACTTGCTTGGGCCAAGAAACACGAGCAATGGATATTAGACCGGTGGAAATCTGTCCTTTGGTCTGGAGTCCAAATTGGAGATTTTTGGTTCCAACCGCCGTGTCTTTGTGAGACACAGTGTAGGTGAATGGATGGATCTCCGCATGTTTAGTTCCCACCGTGAAGCATTGAGGAGGAGGTGTGATGGTGTGGTGGTGCTTTGCTGGTGACACTGTCTGTGATTTATTTAGAATCCAAGGCACACTTAACCAGCGTGGCTACCACAGCATTCTGCAGCGATACGCCATCCCATCTGGTTTGGGCTTAGTGGGACAATCACTTGTTTTTCAACAGGACAATGACCCAACACACCTCCAGGCTGTGTAAGGGCTATTTGACCAAGAAGGAGAGTGATGGAGTGCTGCATCAGATGACCTGGCCTCCACAATCCCCCGACGTCAACCCAGTTGAGATGGTTTGGGATGAGTTGGTCCGCAGAGTGAAGGAAAAGCAGCCAACAAGTGCTGCAAAGAAAAAGTCCAGTGTCTGTGTTCTTTTGCCCATCTTAATCTTTTATTTTTATTGGCCAGTCTGAGATATGGCTTTTTCTTTGTAACTCTGCCTAGAAGGTCAGCATCCCGGAGACTGGTGTTTTGCGGGTACTATTTAATGAAGCTGCCAGTGGAGGACCTGTGAGGCGTCTGTTTCTCAAAATAGACACTCTAATGTATTTGTCCTCTTGCTCAGTTGTGCACCGGGGCCTCACACTCCTTTTTCTATTTTGGTTAGAGCCAGTTTGCGCTGTTCTGTGTAGGGAGTAGTACACAGCGTTGTACAAGATCTTCAGTTTCTTGGCAATTTCTCGCATGGAATAGCCTTCATTTCTCAGAACAAGAATAGACTGACGAGTTTCAGAAGAAAGGTCTTTGTTTCTGGCCATTTTGAGCCTGTAATCGAACCGACAATTTCTGATGCTTCAGATACTCAACTAGTCTCAAGAAGGCCAGTTTTATTGCATCTTTAATCAGCACAACAGTTTTCAGCTGTGCTAACATAATTGCAAAATGCTGATAATGGGCCTATGTAGATATTCCATAAAATATCAGCCGTTTCCAGCTACAATAGCCATTTAAAACATTAACAATGTCTACACTGTATTTCTGATCAATTTTATGTTAGTTTAAGGGACAAAACATTTGCTTTTCTTTCGAAAACAAGGACATTTCTAAGTGACCCCAAACTTTTGAACGGTAGTGTACACACACCCTAATGTACATGAATATATATATATATACACACACACACACAGAGTCCGTCTGTCCTTCTTTGTGCTGCTCTCATTGCATCACTCACGGCTGTCTGTGTCTTTCTGTGTGCTGCTGCAAATCAAGCCTGGCGAGCAGGTAACACACATCTGTCCCTGTTCTCTCTCTTTCTTTCTCCTCATCCCCCTCTTCTGTCTTTCACATCCTTTTTTCACTTTCTCATTCACTTTTCCCTCCACCTTGATTTTTCCACATTTTCTCACTGACACCCCAAAATGGAACACTTGAATCTCTGCATTCTTTCGCTCTCTCTCTCTCTCTCTCTCTCTCTCTCTCTCTCTCTCTCTCTCTCTCTCTCTCTCTCTCTCTCTCTCTCTCTCTCTGTGCAGTGTTAGACTCCAGGTTGATAATGTGTCATCAGTGTATATCCATTCTACCCTTGTCTCGTGTTAAACCTTTAGATGATCCAATATATACAGTGCCTTCAGAAAGTATTCGTACCCCTTGACTTATTCCACATTTTATTGTTACAGCATGAATTCAAAATTGATTAAATAAATGTTTTTTACCCATCTACACACAGGTGTGTCCAAACTTTTGACTGGTACTGTATGTAAATGAGATATTCCTGTATTTCATTTTCAATCAATTTGCAAACATTTCTAAAAACCTTGTTTTCACTTCGTCATTATGGGTTATTGTGAGTAGATTGGTGAGGAAAAACACAATTTAATCCATTTTGAATTCAGGCTGTAACACAACAAAATGTAGAGTAAGTGAAGGGGTATGAATGCTTTCTGAAGGCACTGTATATAAATATATTATGTGTGTTTGAACTTTACTGACCACCATGTATGTTAATTCATGTTTAAGGGGGTGTGTGTTGTCTGTGTGCGGTCTTGAGTGCACAGATGTGTGTAGTCTTGAGCACACGTGTGTGTGTGTGTGTGTGTGCGCGCATGTTAGTGTGTATGTGTGTGTGTTTACCCATGTTAAACCTATGTCCCCTCTCTCTGTCAGATGTACCGGCTGACTCTGCGCAGCAGCAAGGACACCGTCTCCCAGCGCGTCTGTGACCTCCTGGCAGAACAGTTCTAAAACCCTGAGTCTAGAACCCACCCAACGCGCCCCAGGCCACCATCATCATCACGCTCTAGACACCCAACACACCGAGACCAGCATTTCAACCCCCCCCCCCCCGAACAAAGAATCAACGAGAAGAAGGAAAAATACTTACATAAGGGAGAAAAAAAAGCAGCTGTTGTCACTTACCCGACTGCCCTATTATTATTGTCATTTATTATTATTGTCACGATTATAATTCAGATTCTTCTTATTATTACTGTTTTATTATCATCGGCGCTAAAATTGTTTTTTTTCGGTGTTTACCTGTGAACGTAAGTGTATGACTGTGTGTGTGTGTGTGTTACAGAATCATGCTGGTGTGTGTGTGTCCTGTTATTCTCCGTCCTGTCTGTTTAAGCCCTGAGTGCTCCTGTACTTATGATGACAGCTGGTGTGTGTATCCGTGCATGTGTGATTCATGGGGGAGGGTGGGAGATTCTGTGTGTCGATTCCGCAACATTTCAACCTTAGACTATTCCTGGGAGTTGCATGGGAGGACCAGTTCTACATACACACACACACACATACATGTATAATACACAGCCAGAACTCTCACATGTAGGCACATACATGCATATATTTGTACATGCTTAAGTGTCTGTTTAAAGTATCTGTATATGGTCCTCATTTAGTGGGAGGGAGGGGTAAAACGAAATCACACTAAAGAAATGGGACTCTTCTGTGTAAGGGTCCAAAACTACACACTCTAAACACCCACCTTCACCCCAACCCCATCTCTTCTCCACCCTCTGCTGTCCCAGACCCCTACCTGTTATACATAGATCCCAAGGCCCTCTATCAGTATAATCGCTGATATATAATATTCCATAAAATAATTCCAGCACATTCCCAAGTCTACAGTTCCAGCTCTATTCCAGTGGAAATGGCCAGTGCACTTAGGTGGTTCCAAGAGACCTCAGTCCATCAATACCCCTCAAACACATACACACACAACCCCACTCCCACTTCCCCCATCTTTCTGGCGTGTAACCATACTTTATATATAAACTCAAATGATTCTGTACCTGTTCATGGAATATATATATAAAAGAAATAATGTAATTAATTACCCCTTTTTATCTTTTTTTTAAATCTTCTCATCTTTCCATTTCTTTCCTTTTATTAGTAGTGGAGTTATTGAAGTGTTTGTATGTTTCTTTAATGGTGTAATGTTGTGTTGCTTCTGTTGTGTGTGTGTGTGTGTGTGTGTGTAGGTAGTGTGAGAGAGTAGGGCCAGCAGTGTGTACCCTGTGAATAGGGTAGAGGTGTCAGCTAGAAGGAGAGAGATATGGAGAGAGTAGCAGGGTAGCTGGTCTTGTTTACAGTGTTAATCAGACAAAGGCGAGGTTGACACTTGACTTAAACCTATCATAAAGCCTACTTACCACCATCGTAAGCATGACATAACAGATAAGGAATTATAAGACGTCGTGAAAACTGATGTACATTTATTTCAGATTAGCAATGTTTTTTGACACTTGAAGCAGGGATCATTGGTTGAGAGATGACATGGGATGTTTTATGACAGCTTATGACATGTTTATGTCGTGCGTAAGTAAGCATTGAGCAGGCCCCATTGATGGGGACTTCAGGTGGTAGTTGGGAGGAGTTAGAGGGCAGTGGGCCAGTCCGTGTTGACATGAAGAGTGAAGCGGCAGAGCAGAGGCCTAGTATTCATTATTTTTATTTGTTATATTTTTGTGCTGAAAAGAGGGATGGGATTGGAGAGTAGAGTGCTGCTTGACACCGTGATTGACTGAAAAAATATGAGTACCTCAGAACTTGATCTCTAAACACGCAGAGGCTTGTGCACGCACACACACGACACAAGTACTTACCTTATGGTATTAATTGGGAGAAGATTGCAATCTGCAGATAGATTGATTATTATCTTTGAAAACACAACCAACCACAAAGACACTGGACAGCACTTATCTGTAAACTCACATTTCAGACACGCGTGCCCACATGTCCATTCTTAGAGACGAGAGGGAGGAGAGAACTCAAAGACCAACTGTCAATCACAACTACCGGGATCGAGTCATCAGGGGTGGGCATCGCGTGTGTGTTTGAGTGTGTGTCGGTGTACCACGTGATAAAAATATCCTAAATTATGTTTATGAGACATGATCATATTAGTTTCAACAGGAGTCACTTATACATCTAACCCATGCAGCATTGGTGGGACAGTCTGATCATTGTAGTGGAAACTGTAGAATAATTGTGTGTGTGTGTGTGTGTGTGTGTGCGCGTCTATGCAGTATCCGCTAGCTAATGCAGCCCTGTGTATCGGTGTTAAACCTGTCAGATACCTGTGTTAGATTTAAGATTTACTCTGTACTGAATAATGTGAAAGTAAAACTATGCCATATACTCTGGCTCTGTCTTTCTTAGTGGGAAATTGTGTGTGTCTGTGTGTGATGGTGATGATGATCATTGTTCGTCAAGAGGAAGTTCTTTCCAAAGCTCACCACAGTTCCACGTCCGCAACAAAAAACGGATGTTGTGTGTTAGTGCTGGGCTGGAACAAAAGCCTGTACACCCGGCAGCTCTCCAGAACCATAGTTGGATGTATCACATAGTCCTATCAATAAGAACTCATCACATTGACTAAGGAGTAGAGATGTTAAGTGATTTTGCTCATTGAATAAAGATCCTGCTAAAGCAGGCAGTGTGGCATGTTACCAGTGTTGGGGAGTAGTGAACTACATGTAGTTCAACTCGTAATTTAGTTATATTTTCCAGTAGCTTGGTGGTAGTTGAATTAAATTCAAATCTAGGTAGTGTTTTAACTTTTTTGCCATGTAGCGGTGTAGCTAACTACTGGAACTAGACACTACTGTTTTTGCAAAAATAAAATAAAATGTGGGTGAGGTAGGCAATAAGTTCCTTTTTCGGCATCAGATTTGCCTAACTCTCACTTGAAACTGTTTGTGTTTAATATGTTAAATTCCACATTATGTTAACATATGACCCCAAAGTGATCTGTTCTTGCGATTTGTAGTCTGACATATCAGATTTACATATGATGCTTTTTCATGAAGTAGTTTGGATGTTGTGAAATACTTATTCAAAGTAACTTTAGTCAAGTAAACTATATTTTTCTTGAGGGTAGCATTAGTGTAGCTTAACTTCCAGTGTGAAGTAATTGGTAAACTATATTTTCAGAGTAGCTTCCCAAACACTGCATGTTACCAACCTGTAACCAGTGGTGGAAAAAGTTCCCAATTGTCATACTTGCCTAAAAGTAAAGATACCTTAATAGAAAATGACTTAAGTAAAAGTGAATGTCACCCAGTAAAATACTACTTGAGTAAAAATATTTGGTTTTAAATATACTTAAGTATCAAAAGTAAAAGTATAAATCTTTTCAAATTCCTTATATAAAGCAAACCAGGCAACACCATTTTCTTTGATTTTTAAATTTACTGATAGCTAGGGGCATGCTCCAACACTTTACAAACGAAGCGTGTGTTTAGTGAGTCCACCAGATCAGAGGCAGTAGGGATGACCAGGGATGTTCTCTTGATGAATGTGTGAATTAGACATTTTTCTGTCCTGCTAACCATTCAAAATGTAACGAGTACTTTTGAATGTCAGGGAAAATGTATGGAGTAAAAAGTACATAATTTTCTTTAGGAATGTAGTGAAGTAAAAGTAGTCAGAAATAGAAATAGTAAAGTAAAGTACAGACACCCTAAAACACTACTTAAGTAGTACTTTCAAGTATTTTTCCTTAAGTACTTTACACCACTGTCTGTAGCTCTGACCTAATGGCTGAGGATTACTTTGAAGCAGTGATGAAAGGGGTGATAGGATCTGGAGTATGTCACAGAGGCCTTAACAGATCACAGAGTGGGCCTTTACAGATTTAGGCAGCGTTTACACAGGCAGCCCAATTCTGATCTTTTGACCAATCAGATCAGATCTTTTGACAAATTCAGAATTGGGCTGCCTGTGTAAACGCAGCTCAAGTGTGCAAAGATTTTACGTATGGGTGGTCCTCTGTAGCTCAATTGGTAGAGCATGGCGCTTGTAACGCCAGGGTAGTGGGTTCGATCCCCGGGACCACCCATACGTAAAAATGTATGCACACATGACTGTAAGTCGCTTTGGATAAAAGCGTCTGCTAAATGGCATATTATTATTTTATTTATATTTTTTTATTTCACCTTTATTTAACCAGGTAAGCCAGTTGAGAACAAGTACTCATTTACAACTGCGACCTGGCCAAGATAAAGCAAAGCAGTGCGATAAAAACAACAACACAGAGTTACATATGGGGTAAACAAAACATAAAGTCAAAAATACAACAGAAAATATATACAGTGTGTGCGAATGTAGTAAGTTATGGAGGTAAGGCAATAAATACGCCATAGTGCAAAATAGTTATTATTATTATTATTATAACAGATTCCATCCTCACTGTCATCATTACATAATAGAGCCTTTTTCCTGGACCCAGATTAATCCTTGACTAAAAAGCATGATCAATGGAGATGTGTTTGGAAACCGACCCTCAATCCACAGATAAATTACATTTATGTCTTCTGGTGTGAGATGACGTGATTTGACCTGATTAATCAGAAAGGAACTCCTGATTTGGTATTACATCCTCCTCTATGAACAGGTCACAGGGGGAGGCTAAGTGACCCACACCCAAACCCATTATTCACCTGTTCCCGATGTCCTTTGTTGTGCTGATCACATCTATTACGAGCTTCCACCGAAGAAAGCTGCGCCTGCATGCGTTTTTATCACTCAATGATCAAAACGACAGCAGACATGTTCTAGAGTCATATTTCTATTTTCCTAATTCAACACCAGGTTAGAATGTCCCTCAATCACAGGTTTAGGGTCAGCAAATCTTACCCCAGTCATAAACCTGAACTGTTAACGGGTAAACGCAGAACTGGAATGAGATAAGATTAGATTAATTATTTCTTATTCTTAATTTGACCCGAATATAGGGCTTCAGGGAGAGGAGTAACTCTTCATGATGCACCAATGGGACGAACTAGGCCGTCTCCTAGGCTAGAGTGAACATGCAAACGTGTGCCCCGTAGAAAGCAAA